ACCACATAGGGAAAAAAACCCTGTACAGCCTGTATTATTGCCCAAGTTGCTGATGAGTATCACTATATTCTTGAATGTAAAGCTTTTAATATAAGAAAAAAATACACGAATAATATTTATTATTAAATTTATTTTTAAAAGTAGTGTCGACTATAGATGTACATCCAGCCGGAATTCGCGTTGGAGTAAGTAGCAAAAGTGGCGAGGTTACATATCGACGTCACAGGCACTTGTTTCTGAAATAAATTTTTAACCCATATTATAATAATCATTATGCAAAGGGTTAAAAATTTATTGCAGAAACAAGTGCATGTGCTACATTGCCTCTTTCATTAGTCTGCGGCTTATGTACGTACAGGTTGATTAAAAGTACAAAATAATGCATATACATGCATTAGCTGCAGAACTGAAGCTCTCCGAAAAAAAATATTGACAATCCGGAGAGCTACAGTGCCACCCATTGAAAAAACTGGATATTTATTGCGCACAAAAAAGTGCGCTGTTTCTCGATTTATTTTTCCGTGTTTTTCAAACCGCCGTTTCAAAATATTACTAACTGTGTGTTCCTAACATATTCCTGTACTATTTCCACAGCAATACATTCCTTATAACCCTAGTAAACACAGGCGCCTGAAGTGTGGATCGATACCCCCCCCCCCCTTCCCTTCTTAATTAAAAAAAGATTAAGAGCGTATATCTCAAAAATACATAATTTTTCAGTCAATCACATCTATATGTCGTTCTATGCAAGCAGATTGCACTTTTTCTCACGTTTAGAGAAAGGACGTATACGGTATAATAGTGTATTTTTCTAAAAATGAGTGCAACTTTTTGTGCGCAATAAATATACAGTTTTTTTTTCTTAGGGTGGCGCTGTAGCTCTCTGGTCATCCCAATTTTTTCAGACCAGTGAGCTACAGATCTGCAGCTTATACATGCATAAGACTAGCTGCAGATCTGTAGCTCGCTGGTCAGAAAAAATTGGGATGGATGACCAGAGAGCTACAGTGTCAGACGAAAAACAAGAAATATTTAAGGCATTTCAGACCTGTTTAGTAACACATGGACAATTAGTCTGGGTGATTTCTTTTAAAATAAATCACAATGTATTTTGATCATGAACAACCGTCTTCTTTCGATGTATCAGGCTGGGAATTTACACAAGATAAGGATATTTATAGAAACTGATGACCTTATATACATAGTAAAAGTTTGGGGACTTACACAAGATAAAGGATATTTATAGAAACTGAGGACCTTATACACAAGGTAAAAGTTTGGGGACTTACACAAGATAAGGTATATATAGAAACTGAGGACCTCTTACACATGGTAAAAGTTTGGGGACTTACACAAGATAATGGTATTTATAGAAACTGAGGACCTTATACACACAGTAAAAGTTTGGGGACTTACACAAGATAAAGGGTATTTAAAGAAACTGAGGACCTTATACACATTGTAAAAGTTTGGGGACTTACACAAGATAAGGGTATTTATAGAAACTGAGGACCTTTTACACTCAGTAAAAAGTTGGGAACTTACACAACATAAAGTGTATTTAAAGAAACTGAGGACCTTATACACATGGTAAAAGTTTTGGGACTTACACAAGATAAGGGTATTTATAGAAACTGAGGACCTTAAACACATGGTAAAAGTTTGGGGACTTACACAAGATAAGGGTATTTATAGAAACTGAGGATCTTATACACATGATAAAAGTTTGGGGACTTACACAAGATAAAGGGTATTTAAAGAAACTGAAGACCTTATACACATGGTAAAAGTTTGGGGACTTACACAAGATAAGGGTATTAAAAGAAACTGAGGACCTTATACACACAGTAAAAGTTTGAGGACTTACACAAGATAAAGGGTATTTAAAGAAAGTGAGGACCTTATACACACAGTAAAAGTTTGGGGACTTACACAAGATAAGGGTATTTATAGAAACTGAGGACCTTATACACATGGTAAAAATTTGGTGACTTACACAAGATAAGGGTATGTCTAGAAACTGAGAACCTTATACACATGGTAAAAGTTTTGGGACTTACACAAGATAAGGGTATGAATAGAAACTGAGGACTTTATACATAAGGTTAAAGTTTTGGGACTTACAAAAGATAAGGGTATTTATAGAAACTGAGGACCTTATAAGCATGGTAAAAGTTTGGGGACTTACACAAGATATGGGTATTTATAGAAACTGAGGACTTACACAAGATAATGGTATTTATAGAAATTCAGGACCTTATTCACATGATAAAAGTTAAGGGACTTAAATAACATAAGGGTATTTATAGAAACTGGGTACTTACACAAGATGCAGGTATTTATAGAAATTGAGTACTTTATACACATAGTTAAAGTTATGCATAATAAATGTATAGAAACTGATCACCTTATACACATAATAAAAGTTTGGGAACTTACACATAATGAAAGTATAGATACTAAGGACCTTACACAAATTGTAAAAGTTTAGGGACTTACGCAATACAAGGGTATTTATAGAAACTGAGGACTTTATACACGTGCGAAGTTTGGGATTTACACAAGATAAGGGTATTTATAGACACTGAGGACCTTATACACATGATAAAAGTTTAGGGACTTACACAAAATAAGGGTATTTGTAGAAACTGAGGACCTTATACACATGGTAAAAGTTTGGGGACTTACACATAATGATAGTATAGAAACTGAGGACCTTATACACATGGTAAAAAATTGGGGACTTACACAAGATAAGGGTATTTAAAGAAACTGAGGACCTGATACACATGGTAAAAGTTTGGGGACTTACACAAGATAAGGGTATGTATAGAAACTGAGAACCTTATACACATGATAAAAGTTTGGGGGCTTACACAAGATAAGGGTATGTATAGAAACTGAGGACCTTATACACATGATAAAAGTTTGGGGGCTTACACAAGATAAGGGTATTTATAGAAACCGAGGACCTTATCCACAATAGTAAAAGTTTGGGGACTTACACAAGATAAGGGTATTAATAGAAACTGAGGAACTGATACACATGGTAAAAATTTGGGGACTTACACAAGATAAGGGTATGTATAGAAACTGAGGACCTTATACACATGGTAAAAGCTTGGGGGCTTACACAAGACAAGGGTATTTATAGAAACTGAGGACTTCATACACATGCAAAGTTTTGGGACTTACACAAGATAGGGGTATTTATAGACACTGACGACCTTATACACATGATAAAAGTTTAGGGACTTACACAAGATAAGAGTATTTATAGAAACTGAGGACTTTACACACATGGTAAAAGTTTGGGGACTTACACATAATGAAAGTATAGAAACTGAGGACCTTATACACATGGTAAAAGTTTGGGGACTTACACAAGATAAAGGGTATTTAAAGAAACTGAGGACCTTATACACATAGTAAAAGTTTGGGGACTTACACAAGATAAGGGTATGTATAGAAACTGAGGACCTTATACACATGATAAAAGTTTGGGGGCTTACACAAGATAAGGGTATTTATAGAAACCGAGGACCTTATACACAATCGTAAAACTTTGGGGACTTACACATGATAAGGGTATTAATAGAAACTGAGGAACTGATACACATGGTAAAAGTTTGGGGGCTTACACAAGATAAGGGTATGTATAGAAACCGAGGACCTTATACACATGGTAAAACTTTGGGGGCTTACACAAGATAAGGGTATTAATAGAAACTGAGGAACTGATACACATGGTAAAAGTTTGGGGACTTACACAAGATAAGGGTATTTATAGAAACCGGGGACCTTATATCCGATGGTAAAACTCAGGGGACCTACACAAGATAATGGTATTTTTAGAAACTAAGGACCTGATACATATGGTAAAAGTTTGTAGACATAAACATTATAAAAAAGCAAGGTTAACTTAGGGTTTTTATGGCCCTTTGAATTGTGAGAAATCAAAACTACTCAGTTTTGGTATCATGTGCATTAAATTATCTTTTGGACCTTTGGTGACTGTATCTATTAAAAATGATGTAAAGAGCTGGGTTCACTTTATCCATAAAATGGCCCTTCATACATACCAATTAACTGACAAAGTCCCAGGGTCCTATTTCAAACATCAATATAAAGGAAAGATTTTCCCCATATCCTGAAAATTCCTTCAACAACGGACAAAAGTTTTAGCATTTTTCAAAAATATTTCATATAGAGTGCAATCTCTAATCCATGCTGAGGATATTAATAATTAAGGATCTGTTTCTGAAAAACATGTTTTATATTTTGGGTCGAGGAGTAAGCTTGTATTTAGTTTTCTTTCAAATAAGCCTGTTTTCTGCAAAAGTTCAAGAACTTTGCAATTTTACAAAGCTTGTTTAATTTCCAATCTCTGGACTCTTTAAGAAACTTTGTTAAAGGAATGAAAGGCACTCTCAGCTTTATTTGGATGTTAGAAACATGGGACAGAGAGTATGGACAATTAACTGATATAAGGACAGGGCTATCTTATGCATAAAGTGAACCCAACTCTTTATATTCAATTCAACTCACTTAAAAGTACATTTCACTGTAGATTTCATAAACAATACCATAGTGGATAAATAAAAAAAGAATTTCTGCATATAACTTTATTTGAAGACTTGATCAAACTTAATTGGGACATGCACATTTTTTTCACTTTCAGAAAGGTCATGCGATACTTGAAAACATGTTCATGAAAAAAAAGGAAAAAATTTCCTTCTGCACAGAATATTTAATACATGTACTTCAAAATCATTTGCTACACACATCATGCAGTTTCTTCTGCACTCTTCAGTCATGCAGTATCATGGTCCATGCAGGTTTCATAATGATAAAACTGCTGCAAACAATTTAACCCCCAATACTGCTAATTGTGGCTCCGAAACACAGTGTTTATCATTTTTCTCAAAAATATATCAATTGAAATTAGTGTGTAAATCAAGATTTTCTCTGTTTTTTTTTAACTAGATTATATACTTGGTCTTTAACACTTATCTAAGTTTTTATTACATTTTTGTAATCTTTTCTGAAATGTTTTTTGATTAAAATCATTTCACATGATGTCCTTGGGATTTTTTGTATCTTCTGTCACTTGCATGCAGAATCTTCCATTTCTGTTGTGGATCTGTGATCAGAAAGTGGCTTCCTTTTCCTTAAAATCAAATTTTCAGAATATAATTTTTCTTCTGTTTATACTTTTGTCTGTATAAAAATAAAGCAAATAGCTCTGAAAGTGGCTTATCATGACTGGCTAAGTATTTTGTGAAAAGTGAAGAACTTTTCGGTATCTGAAATACAATTTGGTAGGAGAATGATTGTTCACTAATATATATGTATTAAATAGGTACATTCATTATTTGAATGATCTGTGAACTTGCGTGCTTGGCTACTTAAATTTACATTCAGTTTTAGATCAATATTTTGTTCTATTTGGAATTTAATCTCACTCTTCCATCTCCATTCAGAAGACATCTGTGTGAAATGCGATGACTCTTATATTGGTAAAGTTCCACCAATGCAAATAACTTATTTCAGAATATACCTTGCTCTACCCTTGAATATATAACCACTCTTTTTGTCACTTATACTGAAGCTCTTCTGTTCATACTCAATATCCAGTATTGAGAACTACACATTTTTCATGCATGTAGACCACGCAGCACTGTTAAGGCATACTGTGAAGAAATCAATGGAAAATAGGCATGTACAAATAGATAACTTTTTAATGCTGATTTATTTTTGTAAAGCTATTATATTCCCAGATGACTTAAAAATTAATAAAAATAATATTGTAGGCCTATACCCCACTCTATATTGAATCTAGTTTGGTAACCTTATATGGAAGTCACGTGATAATTGCATATAATGTGTACTACATGTAGGTCATACACAAATTTCAATATCACAAGGGCATATCCTAGTTCCATTAAAAAATCTAAGTTATAAATTATTTCTATATACCTTGTACTTTCTGAAAAGTTCTGCTGCTTTAGAATTTGCATTTTATAAGGAAAAATTCATGTTATGTAGCTCCAGCTGAAATATGTGTGACCTTTACAAAGTGTTTTATGCATTTATTAAATAATGCTCTGGATTTCGGGGAAGCAGCAGCACTTTTCAAGTTAAGGAAAATATCCTTTATTTACATTCGAAAAACGGATAAGATCTATTAAGTGTATGCCCTTGCGAAAAAACAATTTAATTAGGCACCTCGATGTTAAACATGGGTCCGGAACCTTGTACATAAAAACACGGAAGAATTTATTAAATACATTTTCTGTATAATTATTGAATAATCGCACTAAACAAAGGTTTTACATTTGTATAACTTGCCTGTCTGAAATCTGTAAATAATATTCTGTTTAATAATAAAATACATTTTTCACTGTAAAAAAAAATCTTCGTTCTGTCTCTCACAGCACATGAAATATGTCATTTTTACCAAAATGATGTCATGTCGACAAGTTCACTGCAATCAGTAATTTGTTAATAACCTGCTCTGTGGGATTTAACTAGCAACAAAAACTAATGCATTGGTAGTTTTCATGTTGTTTATTATGTTAAGATAGTTTAAAATTGCAAATTATTTCATTTTCTGGTATTATGAGGAATAACTATTTTTGTGTGATGTCATAGTAAACTTTTCCCGTAAAAATTAGGCCCCACCCCCTTTATGCAGCCTTAACAATGCTACGCATTCAGGGCTTCTGCTTATAATATCAAGAAAAGGAAGTTATTGCTTAAAGATGGGTAATGCAGTAATGTAGTGTGTATACAGTACCTGGAGTGTGGAAATCATGATTGTCTTGACTGTCATCCATTTCCTCCTCACTCTGATTCTCATCACCAACACAAGAAACATCACCATCGATTTCCTTTACTGCCTCTGAAAAAAATGCAACTTAATTGTAACAAGCATTCTGAGAGTATTGCATTAGCAATACTAGTCCCCTACCGGCAAGTGTAATCTGGTTCCCGTTAAAAATTGAAAATGCCATAATTTCGTCAAAAATCAATGAAGCGGAACGAAATGCATTCTTGATCTATAACTCATCAAGGTAAAGTCACATACCAAAAATCAGCTCAATATCTGCAAGCGTTTAGAAGAAAATTGCGGAAAACCCTTAGAAATTGAAGAGGTCATAATTCCGTCAAAAATCAATGAAGCGGAACGAAATGCAAACTTGATCTGTAATTCATCAAGATACACTCAATACCAAAAATCAGCTCAATATCTGCAAGCGTTTAGGAAAAAAGTGCGGAAAACCAAGTGGGACAGACTGACAGACAGACAGAGGGACAGACAGACAGACGGACAGAAAGACTCAGAGGAAACCTATAGTCCCCTCCAGTTTCACTGGTAGGGGACTAAAAACACAAACAATTCAACCAGAACAAGCATTCTGAGAGTTTTGCCATTGCAATGCTCGTCCCCTACCAGCAAGTGTAATCTGGTTCCCATTTAAAATTGAAAATGCCATAATTCCGTCAAAAAATCATAATGCAAACTTAATCTATAATTCATCAAGTTAGACTCACATACCAAAAAACATCTCAATATCTGCAAGCATTTAGAAAAAAAAGTGTGGAAAACCAAGTGGGACAGACTGATAGACATACATATGGACAGACAGAGAGATGTACAGAGAGACGCACAGACACGGTGAAACCTATTGTCACCTCTGGTTTCACAGGTGGGGGACTAATAATAATTCTAATAGTTTTTGCAAAGATTAAAAAATGCTGTGGACATAATTCTACAATAAATCAAAGTTACCAAAAGCATAAAAGGTATACAATTCATATTAAAATTTGAACTGGTGGAATAAATACTTGTACAGTTAGTCAGAAAAACAAGCCTATATCAAAGTGCTAGGGACAGACAATTTTGCTTTGTTAAAAACTTAAGGTAAATCATTATTCATGTATACATTGAGTTGTAATATGTTTAAAAAAAAAACAGAGAATAAAAATCACTTTGCTATTAGCTTGAATTCATTATAAGCTAAAGCGTGTTTTACTGTATATGTATAAGGAAATAATGATACCATATCACTTCTTCTGCCAGTCTAAACACTGTGTACTACCTTCTTTTGTTCATCATGACCTCATGTAAACAGAATATTTTAACAGAACTCCCCAGCATAACTTGTAAATAAAATGTCATCTTAAAAAATTATCAACAGTGTGTCTTTGTTAAAGCTACAATTTATGTGAAACAAAATGTGTTTGTGAAACACTGATGCCCCCGTAGGGCGAGGGTTGAAGTTTCTCAAATACATGTCAAACTCTAAGGTCAAGGTGAAAAGGTCAAACTGTTGGTATCCAAAGGAAGGTGTTGTCACAAGGAATACACCTGTGAAATATGAAAGACCTTGTACTAACTGTTGAAAATTATAGCCGAAGTTATAAAGTTTTCAAAAAGTGGGTCAAACTCTAAGGTCAAGGTCAAAAGGTCAAAAATATTTGTGCCCATTAAAAGGTTTTACCACAATGAATATACAAGTGAAGGATGAAAGCCCTAGCACAACCGTTCAAATGTTATTGCAAAGGTTAAAATTTGGTAATTTTTTGTGCAAGTGGGTCAAATTCCAAGGTCAAGAGGTCAAATTAAGTGATACCCAAAGAAAGGTATTGTCACAAGTGACCTGTGAAATATGAATGTCATAGTTCCATCTACTAAAAAAGTTATGGGCAAGGTTAAATTTTTGCAGACAAACAAGATTGATAAGCAGGGCAAAAACTATATACCCCTAATACTGACTAAGGGGTTAATTAATTCTTAAAAAGAAGATTCTATGACAGAAGCAATACCTGATGCCACTTTATTCCTAACCAACATTTTTCACTCCTGGAACCTTGAGCAGAGCAGATGCTTGACTGGGACCTACATGTAGGATATCAGTGTTATAGGCACCTGAGAAACCAGCATGGTAACACTTTCATCAATGAGACTTTCAGGCTTCTCAAGAGATGTGATTGGGAACCAACCAAATTCATTTCCTAGTGAATTTTTAACAGTAGCTGTTATTTATTTCTTAAATTCCTAAAAAAATTTTTACCTGTAACACACTAATGATGAGGCTTTCTGACATTCTCCTAGCCATGGAACCTGGTACATTTCCATCATTAGGTCTTGCATTAACTAATTCTCTAGCATTATTTGCTGAATCTGTTGATAAACAATATTTACTGTTACCTTTTAACTTAAAAAATATGACACATAATAGGTGAATCTTGATGATTTCTACACAACCATTCTTAATGTAAATATTGAACAAACAAGAGGCCCATGGGCCATAATGCTCACCTGATTAACTATGGCCCTTCTGTTCTCCGTCAGCAGATTCTTTCTTCTCCTATTTATTCTTGTGTAAAACTGATCACATATTATAGCCCCATCCTACCATAGGGGGTCATGATTTGAATACATGTAACCTTCAATCTACTCTACCTGAGAATGCTTCCATATAAATATGACTTCATATAAATTTTCCTCTTCTTAAGAAGAAGATTTTTAAAGACATTTTCCATATGTATTCCATTATAAAACTTTTACTGCCTATTGTGGTCCCACCTTAACCACCCCCCTCTCCCCAGGCATGATTTTAGCAAATTTGTGTCTACAATACCTTTAAAGTTTCTAAAAAAAAATATGAAATTATGGCTTTGTTGTTCTTGGGAAGAAGATTTAAAAAAAAATATTTTCTATATATTCCAATGCATTACCCTGATCCCCTGTTGTGGCCCCATGCTAGTCCCGGAGGTTATGATTTAAACAAATTTGAATCTTCACTACCTGAGGAAGCCTCTGTATAAAAAATGACTAATAATGGCTTTGCTGTTTTTAGGAGGAAGATTTTTGAGGATAATTCCTACATATTCCTATGTAATTCTCTGATCCCTTCTTATGATCCCATCCTCCCTGGGAGTCATGATTTGAACAAACTTTAATAGAAGCTTTCACATAAATTTCATCATTTCTGGTCAAGTGGTTATTGAGCAGAAAATTTTTAAAATTCAAATTTTCATGAGTTCCTTATTATCTCCCCTTGAAAGGGGGCATGGCACTTCCTCTAAACAATCTTAAATTCCTTTCCTTTCACCCAAGAATGCTTTGAGGTAAGTTTGGTTGAAATTGGCCCAGTGGTTCTGAAGAAGAAGTTGAAAATGTAAAAATTAAGTTTATGGACAACATGACAGAAAGCTGCTGATCTGTAACTTGCTGGTTTGAAAAAATTGGGATAGACGACCAGAGAGCTACAGTGCCACCCATAGAAAAAAAAGTGTATATTTATTGCACACAAAAAGCTGCGCTCGATTCTGAATTAATTTCTCTAAATTTTTACCTCAACTGCACAAAACCTGGATTTCAAAATTTTCCTTAGACCTCTATCAACTACTCTTGTAGTTGACATCTGCAAGAAGCGCGTTGGACCGAATTACCTTGCCACCCAAGATGGCAGAATAAATAGACAAAATTTTCGATGATTTCAATTTCAGGCCCAGGAGGGCTATTGATATGATTAACAATGGTTGTAAAGAATGTTTTGTTGTGGAAAAAGTGCAAAAATATGTTAGAGACACAGGGTTAATAGTATTTTTAGATTGCAGTTGATAACAGAGAAATAAATCGAGATTCTGCTTACTTTTTTTTTGGCGCAGTAAATATACACATTTTTTTAATGGGTGGCACTGTAGCTCTCCGGTCTGACAATATATTTTTTTTTCCGGAGAGCTACAGTTCTGCAGCAACATGACAGACAGATGGACAGAAGGTTGACGGACAGCTAGATAGACAGACATCGGATACTTTTTGATCAGAAAAGCTCACTTGAGTCTTCTGCTTGAGTGAGATAAAATCTCTTTTGGAAGATTGAATTATTTTATTATTACCTGGAAGGCTGTAAACAAATTTCCTTGCATCTTTTTTACTCATCATGGTTTGAAAGCTTTGTAACTGTATTAAAAGAGAATTCTCTAATTAAAAGCTGTTCTTTATTTCTTCAAGGGATCTCTGTATACCTAAATTGGAAAAGAAAAACTTCATAAAAGTCATAATTAAGCTTTGGCAATCAAGTATGAAAATAAGAGGATGAAAATGATATTTTTACCCCTGAAGGTTTTACTACAACTTCTGCAGGTACTTTGGCAACACTATGCACTTAAATTCTTATGTTGCATCATTAACCACAGAATTGTATAATATAGAGTATATCAATTGACATGTCTAATCTCTACAGTTCAGAGGGGGAAATACAGAAATCTTTTTAAAGTGTAGGCTATTAAAAAATCAGCATAAATTACTTTTCATTTTTTAAATTTTTTTTCGTTTCTTTGAAAACAATATGCTTTAGAAGCTTATAACTACTACACCAAAAGACCGTTCACAGTAGCTCAGTTGGTAGAGCGCTCACTCTGTGATCAGGAGGTTGTGAGTTCGAATCTCAGCCGCGACTGACCTAAGTCGATAAAAATGGGTAGCAACTGTTTCTTCGCCATGCGCTCGGCACTTTGAAGTGAAAGTTGTGGGTTCTTCGGATGAGACCTTAAAAACCGAGGCCCCGTGTCACGGCAGGCGTTGGCACGATAAAGATCCCTCACTGTTCAGTGGCCCCGAGTGCCGAGTAAAGGTCAAAATTTGAAGCTCTTCACCGGTGTATGGTGACATCTCTATATGAGTGAAAAATTCTGGAACGGGACGTAGAACAACATACATACATACTACATCAAAAAAAGCAATACAGGACATTAAATGTTGAATGATACAACAAATTCGGTTTGAAATATTTCATTACCTTAAAAATAAGCAAATATTTATGGTTGAGTTTAAATGTAGCACCTAATAATCCAGCTTTGATAATGCATGTAACTGTACTGTCTCCATGTTCAGGGGGGATTCCATGCATCTTCTGTTTGCCTCAAACATTCTAACAAAAAAAATTTCATAAATTTAATTCTGAATTTATTTATTCATAGATTTGCTAACATTTTTGACCAAAGTGCATGTTTTGAAAACATGTGTTGTTTTAAATGTTAACATGCTAGATGCAGAGACACTAAGCTAATTTCTTAGTAAATAGTTGAGTATCTGTTGTTTAAATTTTTTTTTCCACTTTTAAACATTTGTTAAGCTGATCAATTACAATTATAATGTGTTAAGTTACACTATGCATTATATCATGAGTGTTTATATTTGTTGGAGACAAGAACTAAAGTGTCAAAAATGTAGTAAATTCCAGATCTTTTGATAAAACGGCTCTTGACTTTTGAATAGCTTTCGGTCTCAGTCAACTAATACCTGACCAGGTCTGTATAGTAATGAGTAGACCTCATCAAAAGTCAATAATTGTACATGAATTCAATAATATTCATCTGGAAGATAACATGCAGGTGAATACTGTAAATGTATTCTATTTAGCGTGTACATGTACGATATTTGAGGGAAATTAACTTTTGAGCAAGTTAGCTTAGATTTGATTTAGCACATTTCTTAATGTTCTTAATCATGAATAATTATGTGCTGCAAGACATTTAGCATTGTACTTGAATTAACAGAAGATTCTTTCAGCCAAAGGCACTAAAAAAAATACACATCCAAATGTAATATGTCTACAGTATAACATTTTTTGATTTCTAAAATGTTGGCTATCAGACAATCAAAAACCTGAGAATTATTCAATCATAAAATCTTAATCGTGCGACCATTAGGGCAAGCGCAGACACCTTTTCAGTGTACTGTTTATCATTGTATTTAGGCCTGTCTCTATAAACCGCACATGACATTTGGTGCGTCTAGACTCTGACGGCACATGATGTGGTATGTAAGTTTCGTTACCATTAAACTGAAGAAAGAACAGTGCTTATTTTAATGAAGAATGTTTTATTAACTATTTATCTGCAATATATCCATTAAATAAAGGCGAGTTTATTATTTGTTGAACTTTTATTGTTATTCTTGTGAGAAGGTAATTTAACAAGCAATGCATTGTGGGTCCAGAAGTTACTGTGGAAAAAAAATTTGTTTGGATCAATGTGCAATGTCCAAATTTTCTCTTCACCCACGCGTTGTATTAAGAGCTGCCAGTGATGAGCGGGGCTTTGCGCCACTCCCTATACTCGCAATGATTATTGTTAAATCATAACTGTTTACTTACAATTTACATCGAAAAGGGTCTCAGTTTGTAGGATTTAAAGGGAACAAACAAAAATATTCTTTAACAAATCCTCAATGATTATTGCACACAACTTGATGAAAAAGTCAATACTTGATTTTGCATATACTTAACTTAGCAGAACTCTTTTGCGGTGGAGGTAGGAAACGCCTGTTGGATTGGGGCAAATGTGCTATTGAATACAATGCAAGATCGATCATTATGGAATTTATAAGAAAGAAATCCTGGTGAAATATCTTGCTAAACATATGCTGAACCAGCCTAATAAATCTGAGAGAGGAGCTAATCCTCAAATGTTACATTTTTAGCGATACTTTTCACTAAGTGGACTCTTCTCATGAAATTCTCATTGAAAATCGTTACTTTTTATAGTTCATAAAATACTTTAAACTTTCCTTATTTGACAAAATAGCTACTATTTCGAGTTCAATCCTTGGCAATACATTGTACTTTCTGCATACTCATCACTGCTTAATGTTCAAATCATTTGATTGTCACTGCTGTAAACAATGTTATGCCCCAGAAATCTTGCGAGATTTAGAGCTTCCTTGACTCCCCCACAAAAGAGCAGTAGTAAGTAAGATAACTGCGAGGTACTCGTGATTCTATGTATTGTTCTGTTAGTTCAATATTCGATATTGGTATACCGACCTTACAAATTTATTACCAGTCTTACAGCAAACTGTTATAATTAATTTACAATGTGGAAACCTAATTTCCCCAACCAAAATATTGCCTAACTTAACCCAAATATTAATCTATTGTGATGGTTTGAAGTGTATTTATTATATGTGTATATATTTATTTATCTGTATGTGACATATTTCATTCATATTTCCCCTATTTGTCTTAACTTGTTATATGAAGTTATTCCCCTTTGTTTATAACCCGTCCGGATTAGGCACGCCCAGGTCTATAGTACCCGGCCGGGATTTATTGTTGTCATATTATACATGCATTTGTGTATAATCAGCAGCAGTCGATATTATTATTGATTATCGATTAGACATATTTCGAGGATCGAGGCTAAATTTCTATCTAAATTAATGGTAATTATCACACTCTTGGATCGTAGGTGATATTGTTTCATATGTTTTACGTTTGATTTACATGATTGTTATTTTAACAGAATATAGAATCTAATTCTTCAGTCTTTAAACACTGAAATTCTTGTTTTCTTTCATCCTTTCGAACTCGGATTATGTACGGGACTGACCCCTAGACAATCAAGTTACACTATATCGCCAAACCCCCCAACTCCGTCACTACCCTAACTGCGTCACTTTCGGGAAACTCCGCACTGTTTGTAAAAGAATGCGATTGTGACGTCATTTTTTACATGCCAAAAATCTACAATCAAATGCCAATAAATTTTTACAGTCAAGTTCAAGAATGTGTCAAAAATAAATAACAATTACACTTGATCTATTGTAGCTATCATATTTTATGTGAAATCAGTAAGTACTTTTTCCTTTATGCGCTATTCCATGGATACCTCCGACATGTGCGTCAATATGCTCATTTTTACATGTCTGTCATATTTATGAAGGTCTTTGCCAAAGGATTAATATGACATATCATACTGAATACGGCTAAAAATATTTTATTTTTCGTCTCAATTTGCCCTAATATGCTACACGTTGGAGATAACGTAGCGTTACGTTATTACATATAAAATACGTTATTTTTTCTGTCGTTGATACTTTTCCTAAAATACAATTGAATACCATTTTAAATCTTCAAAACTAATTTTCTATGTTTACAAGTTTAAGATGAAGGGAGAAAAAACTAAACTGGAAAAAAATTTCTAATTAATACGTTGACATATTGTAGAGGGCCCTGGTGACGGAGTTAGGGTTCGTTGGACGTAATGTACACGGATGTGATATGCATTCTATTTATAGCAGTTTTGTATAAGTTCAATAACTAAACTTTTTAAAATAGTTCTGGAAACAATGTTTAAGTTCATTACTAAGTGTAGCAAACAAGAAAAAAATCAAAAAATAATTCAGAGAGTAAACTGACGTGTTTTCCTCTTATGGTGACGGAGTTTGGGTAGTAGGGGATAAAAGCAATATAAACAGACAAACAAGAAAATGATTCCAGTATATGAAGAGTGTAGCTAGCAAAGTCAGCTGTCTCCCTCCCCGATGATCTGATAGCTAGCTGCATAGCTTTATATGGAAATGAGAACAAAAGGAACTGTCAAATAACTTACTGGACAAAAGTGGGCGTTTCCACATATAAGATAAATAATTTACATCGGGATCGAAATGAAAAGATTTAAGAAAACGTAAATAAACTACATCTGCCACAATACATGTCAAATGTCTGATTGTAAAGATTAGGATACAAAAATTAAATACATTGCACCCGGCCTGCTTTAAAAAGAATCATATCATATGATATGCAATTATAATGAACTTTGCAGAACTTAATTTAAAAATTGTTCGTATATAAACAAACACACCAAACATGCTAAACAGCTGAAATAATAAACCTAGGCAATTCGGAAAGTCTTATCTGTCGTAACAGAGACATATAACAGATTCGACAAGAAATTGCGCAGATGTAGTGTGTCTTTAGAAAGACTTCAAGTCTGCAGAACATAATTACACATTCATTTCAAGGAATCAAAAAAGGATGCGATTTTTTCTTGCCCAAAATTATGCCTTACCTGAGTAAGCTGTTTACATCGGATGTGTATAATGCCCTTATAGTACAATGTCCTGACTGATTGTAATAAATAGTATTTAGGTGCACAAACAATTTCATTTTTATTGGAAATAATAATAAAATTATTATTCTCTATAATAATCATGGCGAAATGCAAAATAAAATATATAAAATTTTTATTGGACATAATAAAAATGACAGGAGTACATGTATAATGTCCTGATTTGGGGTATAATGACCTGATTTGATATGTCCTTCATAACAATTTAAATTGGTATTAATATTTATATTCTGTTTTTTTTTTTTTTGTTTTTTTGTTGTTTTTTTTTTATAAGATTTTTTAAGATTGAAATTAATGTGTTCACATAAAAATTGGGATAAATATAAATTTATTCTTGGGAATTTCATTTTTCATCTTTTTGTACTGGATGTCAGTAGAGATATATAAGGCTCACAATTTGGAGAAAATGACAAATAAGGCTGGTTTGACAGTGAAAATGTGATAAATGTTTACTTTATCATTAATAAATTTTGTACAAGATGTTTTCATCCATATTATCTTTTTGAATGAAAATTTTTATTCCTAACACATGACCTTAGAGAGACCATGCAATGTGATTTTTTAAGGAATGCTGTAAAATTATAATAATTAAGAAAAAATGTGGAAAACATAATTGTCACTTAATGAATTGAACTGTCATATCAGTAATGTGGTAGCTTTTTTAATCAATGGATGCTTCACCCTGAGTTTCTTTTATATATATAAACAATTATGAAAACAATAACTTAATATTCAATTATTTTGCTCTTTAACACTAGATGATAAGTGCATTTTGAGTAACATTGAGGTAGGTCATTATTGTATTAAGTAAATCCCTTTTGCTATATGTCTAATGCCCTGTTCACACAGAGAGTTTAATTCGCAGTAAATTAATGCGAAGTGAAATAATGTGAATTAAAATAATGCGAATAAGAATGCATTTGGATAACAGCAAAAGCGAAGTAAGCTGATGCGAATTAAAATTTTGTTTCTAGGCTACGATAGCTTTTCAGTAAGGCTATTATGACATCATTTGTAAATCATGTCATGTATGCAGAGCAGATCATTTGACATAACATATATAACCATAGTGACTGTATACATTTTAGTGATTTACATTACTTTTCCTTTTTTTTCAACCAAAAATAGCACAGATACATAAATCTAACTACCAACAGACGCTCTAACCACTGCACCACGCGGTGTCTCCATATGAGTGAAAAATTCTCAAGAGGAATGTTAAACAACATACATACAAACAAACACATGCATCAAAATTTAATTCGAATTAGCTTCGCTTAGCGTTCACATGGAGCTAATGCAATGTAATTTAATGCGCAGTAAATTAATTCGAATTAAACTAATTCACACTAAATTCTCCATGTGAATGCCCTTCAAATTTAATTCGCAGTAACTTGTGTTTAATTCAAATCAAACTCTCCTTGTGAACAGGGCATCATTATATGCCCTGTTCACATGGAGAGTTTAATTCAAATTAAACGTAAGTTAATTTACTGCACATTAAATTACTTCGCATTAGCTCTGTGTGAACGCTTCAAGCTAATCTAATTTGAATTAAATTTTGATGCATGTGTTTGTTTGTTTGTATGTTGTTTAACATTCCTCTTGAGAATTTTTCACTCATATGGAGACACCGCGTGGTGCAGTGGTTAGAGCGTCTGCTCTAGAGTCGCGAAGTTAGGAGTTGATCCTTACGTTGTGGGTTTGAATCCCACTGTGGGACGTGGAGACCGGTCCTTCGGATGAGACTGTATAGACCGAGGTCCCGTGTCACAGTAGGTGCTGGCACGAAAAAGATCCCTCACAGCTCAATGACCGTAAGTGCCAAGTATAGGACAAAATTTGCAGCTCCCCACCGTCAAGTGGCGGCGTCTCCATATGAGTGAAAAATTCTTGAGAGGGATGTTAAACAACATACAAACAAACAAACATATGGAGACACCACCACTTGCTGGTGGAGAGCTGCAAATTTTGTCATATACTTGGTACTTATGGTACTTACTACTGTGTCACAGGACCTCGGTTTATAAGGTCTCATCCGAAGGACCGGTCTCCATGTTCCACAGTTGGATTCGAACCCGCGACGTAAGGATCAACTCCTTACTCCATGACTCTAGAGCAGAAGCCACGTGGGCGACTTGATGCATCACCGTGTAATGACAAATGTAAGGTAAATGCACATGTGGCTGGTCAGCTATTATAGATACTTGTGCTATTTTTTAGTGAAAAACAAAGGAAAATTATGTGAATGAAATGTGTACAGGTATTAGCCTATTACATTCTGTCAAATGGATCTTCTTTGCATAAGGTGACGTGATTTGAAAATAATGTCATAACAGTCTGACTGAATAGCCTTACTTGTAGAAATTAAATTTTAATTCGCATTAGTTTAGTTCGCATTAGCTGTCATTTGAATGCAATTTAATTTGCATTAGTTTAATTGTATTAGTTTAATTCACATTATTTTGCTGCAAATAAAACTTTCCATGTGAACAGGGCATTAGAGCAGATCAGAATATATTCAAGCTGGCTCTACGAATATCCTCCTTAAGGCTTTAAGCTAAATTTAATGAGTTATGAAACCATTAATATTCAATTGAAAACAAATGAAATGATGTCTATATATTATAGGCATAAGTTAAATTTAAGTTAAATTGATAATCATATTATATTCTAAGCATAACACGAAATAAGAGGAAGTAATAGATTGCAGCTCTCAAGAAGAAGGGGGGGGGGTGTGTTTACAATCAGATATCACTTTTGGCTAAAAAATAAAAAAACAAAAACAAACCAAAAAAAGAAATAGGTTGCTGAGCTAAAGAAGAAGGGGGATGGGGGGGGGGTGATGGTTACAATCCGATCTCACGTTTGGCTAAAAAACCAAGTAAGAGGTTACAGATTTCAAGAAGAAAGGGGGGGGGGGGTGTTACAATCTGATCTCACTATTGGCTAAAAAAGCATATATGTGAACTACGTTTCCAAAATCTCCAATTAACACGGACCAAATTTAGTTAAGTTGAATCTTACAAAAATAAGTGAAGTTCATTTCATGTTGAAATGACACACACAACACATTCGATTATACCTTTCATTTGATGAATTTTAAATCATTGTGAAATGAATAGCATACATTGTGTACTATTCCAAAATTATCACATAAATACGAACTGTCTTTTCATTTCAACAGAGTACCCGATATGCAGCAATCGTCACTGACCCCCCCCCCCCTTACACTTTGATGTAAGTTTCTATACACCATATTTAATCGAACAAGTAATAACACATACCGTTTTTCAGCGTTTCTTTAACATAGAATCCATCCTCATCAAAAGAATCTAGGATTCTCTGCCCAGGCTTTCCTCTGCGTCTTTTTTCGACATGTTTATTATATCCCGCTTCAAAACAATTGGACTTCCGCTCTCTTTACACACGCGCATGCGCATTCTAGATGTGTGTAACGTCAGAGGTGTGTAAGTGAAGATGGCAACTTCAATCCGCACGATATCTGTGTAATCATGTGTTCGATGAAACCCCGAAACTGGGACACGTTATTTTTTTGACTTTTTTAGGATTAAGACATGTCAATTTTTCATTTTAAACGATAAAAAAGTTTGGGGACTTGATTCAAGTCCCCAATGTTTTTTATGTCCCCAATTTACGACTTGCGTATCTGTCGAAGGTCCCCAATATGGCCTTCCCACACACGCACCCTTACACACACACACACACACACACAGAGTTTCAGTTTTTGGAGATCATGATTTCCAACAGTCAGTCGGAATTTCCAGGAGTCATATTTGCACCCCGTTATTAGAAAAACTATTTTTTATATTTATATGAAGCAGAATTTTTTCAAAAACTTATACATTAGAAGAAGATACTTGCTGTGGCCTTCAACTCGATATTTAGATATTATCAATTAACAATAGTTATTTTCATTCATTTGTCGACTCGATATATCCCTGTGAACTAGAAATAAAAGATATAACAGAGTCTGACACATCTGTTTCATATTTGGATATTTCACTAAAAAAGACGATAATGGTAATCTAACAAGAAAATTTTGAAAAACGCCCACCTCTGAGGTTTTTAGATGTCCGTTTTTGCTCTGCTCCCGATTTGCATCGTTTGAAAGGACTTTCGAGCTTGATTACTGTTCGTTATCTTAATATTTCATTGGTAAAAGTTATTGTTAAACCTTTGAAAACTATTTTCTAAATGAATCTCTACAAAAAAGTTCATTTCAAATATTTTACTAAGCGGTCCAGAAAAAATTGATATTGATACCACTGACTGAGATATTGGACAACTTTGTCTCTTTTTTTGTCCCATTGTGGGCGTCATCGGCTATATATTTTCAATTTGCTTTCGTTGGTGTTCGACAATTACGGAATTAACATCAATTATTTAAAACACGGAAGCCAAATATGTTAAAATAAAAAGTAAAAGGTATAATGAAATATTTTTAACTATGTTCTTAGGAAAAATGCGTATTGTCGACCCTTAAACCAAGCTGTTTGCCTTTAGACTAACGGCCTCAGGCAAACGGTTTGGTTCCTGGGCCCGGCAAAACGCATGTCGCCTTCGAACCTTGTCAATAAATGAATATTATTGCTTTGCAACTGTGTTTTAAACAAAGGACATTGCACATGCATTCAGTAACATGTTCTTTCCAGTTTAATAACAATTAAGATATTTTAATTGAGAGAAAGAAATTTACTGTATCATACAAATTGTATTTTAATACAAAGAAGTGATTTTATGCAGTAAAGATAAAAAATACAGTATTCAAATTATTTTTGCGTGTCAGAAAAAACTTATATATTTTCAAATAATTCGATCATTAAACATTCTTACTGTTTCTCAGGAATATGATATGCAACATTTGATACACACAAACACATAAGGATTGACACACAAACTTCATGATGGTTTTTTGACTACTGTGCGATTACTTCGTACACAATTCCATTTGGATCATCTACCAGATCAACATAACTGTTATTTTGATACTGAGCATAGTTCCTGCTACAGTTACCTTCCTTAGGAATACCTGTAGAAAATTTAGTGATATTTTTGTCTTCATTATCGTCATCAGTTTTGTATGGTTCATCAGTGCTGTGTTTTCTGAGTGAAAGATAAGAAAAAAATCTTAAGCCGACTACATAGATAAGGTACAAGTTTTTTCCCCAAATTTTGAGACGGTGATGATTGCTACGGCAAGAAGCATAATAAAATCTTAATTATAATATTCCTAATATTATCTCCTTACTAAACACCTATTATCACCAAACCTAAGCTAAAAGCAAATTTTGAACAAATATGCTTAACGTTATTGAAGAGAAAATACATTCAAAATCCAGTACAATGAATAAATGAACAAGGTGAAAATAACGAACAGTGATCGATCTAAAAAAAAAAAACAAACTAAAAACAACATATAAACAATACAAATCTGTGACCAGTGCAAACCCCTGGAAATTCCAGACGTGGGATCAGGTGTCTAGGAGGAATAAGCATTCACTGTCGACCGTGAGCTCTATGTTTTGATCGAGTAGACGGAACATTCCATCGTATCTTGATTAACAAGAAGAAGTCTTAGGACAAGTAACTGTGACGTCATATGACATCACATATATAAGCGTTATGAACAAATTACTATATTATTAAACCACTCTATATCTACAGTGTAATTTTGTTTTTGTGTACCTTCACCGACATTTTTGTTTGAAATATTAGATATTTCATAGTGCCCATCGGACTGTCTGTTTTTCAGTCAGTTTAATTATTTTGTTTGCGTACAAATCCGATTCTTTTGGATGGAATTGATTCTTACTTTAGTATTTCATTACTTCTAGTGGTTTGACGGTATGTCATGTTCTTGCATTTTAAGGTAACTACCGTTATATATGAAAATCCCTATGATTCAAGTTTATGTACAACGCGTATTTGTAATTGTTGAACATCTGATCATAAAAAAAAGGTAGTGTCAAATTGGAAGGAAACAGATTAAGGTGTTTCCACGATAACACTTTTATGGATTCAAAGTAGAATAACTTCAGAATTTAACTTTACATATATCATTTATTCAATATTTACACAAAAATGTTAAGGTTGCCTCTTTTTTGCGATATCAGACGTAAATAAACGGATGAACGAATCACGGTAAGAAAATTACATAAATTACATACTTTTGGAAAATAGCATCATCATCATCATTATAATGATAACAATAATAATACCAAAATATAGTGAAACTTGATATTTTTTTTGAATTTTGGATATCAGGGAAATCATTATACTAAAGAGGTCTTGTTACATAAATATAGAATCATGAGTAGAAGTTAAAATTGTCTTTTACGATATTACAAAATTCATTGAATTTGACTGATATGGTAACAATTACTCTTAAAATTTTCTTATTTTTATATTCTTTTACTAGACAAAATTCATTGAATTTGATTGATATGGTAACAATTACTCTTAAAATTTTCTTATTTTTATATTCTTTTACTAGACAATATTTATTACAACATCTATTGAAAGACATTCCTGTAAATGATATATTTCTTTAAGACAGAAGAGTAATGAAATATTCGCAAATTTAAACCCATAACGTCAAAAGAAGGTGGAAATACCTTTAGATTCATTCTGAATAACCCATAGTGTAGAATGTAACTGTACAGATAAATGATTTAACATTAACAAAGATATATAAAAGTATTTCTTGGACTGTTTTACCTTATTAGTCCCTTCAATATGAAAATGAGGACAAAAATCAGAAAACTTATTCCAATTCCCATAGCAATCCCAGCTCCCAAGGAGATCCTATGTAAGGAACTTTTCTCATCCTTGATATTGAAGGCATCTATCAACGAGTGGATAAAAATCATAAAAATGCTAAAATTAAAAATTCATTAACGATATTTTTTCTGGATTAAATTATACGGAAGCCCAATAGTGAAAACCAAAAATAAATAAACAAAAACGAAATTATTAAATAAAGAAAACGAAATTACTAAATAAAAAGCAAACGAAATTATTAGATAAAGAAAACGAAATTATTAAATTAAGAAAACGAAATTATTAAATAAAGAAAACGAAATTATTAAATAAAAAACTGAAACTAAAATACGGAATATATAGATGTGCATGGTAAGGGCCTGAACCCATGAATCATTCCATAAAGCACACGTGTTCTATGACCTGATTTTGTTTCGATATTAAAACAAGTGTGATATTTGCATTTACACCCAGCTATTCCAGTATCGATAACATAACCAGTTGGAGTAGACAATCATAATAGATGAATAGGGGAGAATTTTACCTTTGGTTATCCAATATGCTTAGATCTATGTTTTTATCTTACATTAACATGATTAATGTGAACTTAATTTGACCAGTCTGATGAATTGGCCAGTGATGACAAGTTTACGTTAGTATTAGCTTTCTTAAACCCTCAACTCAGAAGGTCTAATTATTAGCAAACAATGAATCTGGACATGAAACATCAAAGAGATTATGCTAATAAATTGCACAAATATTTAAGATATACATGTCTGTTAAGATTCCGTTGTTTACAACTGCTGGACCTTATAACATTTAGGAAATTCCCATGGTTATACATCTTTTTTTCAATTATAGCACAGGACAAAAAATGCTGTAAAATGATACGTTACCGATCGAAACCCATTTTAAATTATTGCTTAAAGAGAGCAAGTGCAAAAATTAAACAAGACAAGTTGTTACAATGAGTAGATTTTAATGATTGCTTACTTTATTAAAATTAAGCAAAACACCTCTAATTTCTTGCACAGGCGCTCCCCATGTAATTCTGTAAATACCGAATGATAAGTATATATATATATATATATATATATATATATATATATATATATATATATATATATATATATATATATATATATATATATATATATATATAAGGTTGATTTTATATAGTATTGAGGGGTAGACATATATATATATATATATATATATATATATATATATATATATATATATATATATATATACTTACAGAATTACATGGGGAGCGCCTGTAATTTCTTGGTCATTTATCAAAGCATAATTAGAAGTGATGCACTAACTATTTGTTCTCTCATATTCTAAATGACAAATTCTCAATCTGTATCTATAAGTCAGTGATAGTTGTGAACAAACAATGCACACACTTGCATAATAAATCCAACAAGTATTCAAATCATTCTCTTTATTGTTTCAACAACCTAAGATTTATGGGTACACAGATTGGGAACTAGGTTTAGTTCGGGGGGAATTCAGCGATACGATACGCAAGGCCTTGACCTTTCAGCGATTCATGAGCTCTTTTGGAATGTCATTAATTTTATGTAAGCAGAAACAGCCATCCTCGCTACGTCCAGGCTTACAGGCTCAAACTTTGACGTTGTTGGGATGCGACACAGCATCAAATTCCCGTAAACAAAATTGAACAGTTATGAATCATTTACTTTACAAATGCGAATTATAGGCTATGAGCACATAATGTCAATTTGACATTTATCTAAGTTTTTTTTTTTCATTTCTCCCACACTTGTTTCAATATCGAAACAAAATCAGGTCTTTAGAATTACTAAGTGATGCTTTATAACACGTGCGCTTTATGGAATGATTCATGGGTTCAGGCCCTTACCTTGCACATCTATAAATTCCATATTTCAGTTTCAGTTTTTTATTTAATAATTTCGTTTTCTTTATTTAATAATTTCGTTTTTCTTTATTTAATAATTTCGTTTGTCTTTCATTTAATAATTTCGTTTTCTTGATTTATTAATTTCGTTTTCTTTACTTAATAATTTCGTTTGTCTTTTATTTAATAATTTCGGTTGTTTAATAATTTCGGTTGTCTTTTATTTAATAATTTCGTTTTCTTTATTTAATAATTTCGTTTTCTTTATTTAATAATTTCGTTTGTTTCTTTATTTAGTAATTTCGTTTTCTTTATTTAATAATTCCGTTTTTATTTAATAATTTCGTTTTTTATTTAATAATTTCGTTTTCTTTATATAATAATTTCGTTTTTTTTGTTTCTTATTTTTTTGGTTTGCACTATTGGGCTTCCGTAAAATTATCTATGTTTTATTTATTGACCAAGTCTTATCTTTACAATGATAAAACATAGATAATTTAATCCAGAAAAAGCAATCAGCATGATAATACAAGTGCTACTCCTTCAACTACTACTAAAAGAACAGGGGGCCAAAGGGTCTTAACGGTCACCTGAGCATAATACAACACTGTTTAAAACAAAATTAACTGATAGATAAAGCCCAGCCCTAACAACAGACCCACGGGCCAAGATATTCATAATTTTTGAAGAAGTGTCCTTGCCCATCATAACTATATTTTTGGTTTATCTGCTAAATACTTAGGAGGAGATAAGAAAATATTCAAAGAAATAATGTCCTTTCACTATATAAACAATAGAACCCCCTCCCGCAGAACCCCTCACCCTGGAGCCACAACTTTCACAATTTTGAAATAGGCACCTTGATCATCATAATCATGCACCTAGTTTATCTTCTTTACAAACAGCTGGAGAGGACAATATTTTCAAAGAATTTATGCATTTCACTATATAATCAATAGAGCCCCGTCCTAACATCAGAACCCCTGACCCTGGGGCTAAGATATACCCAGGGTACATGTATTTACTAAAATTGGCTGAAATTGGTGCAGTTGTTCCATAGAAGAAGCTAAAAATGTACAAAAGTTAACAACCGATTCACGACGAACGACGACGGACGAAAACAGATAGCAATAGGCCACCTGAGTGACTCATGTGACCTAAAAACGATTCAAGGCAAATCCAAAAGCAACAACAAGGGGAAATGAACAGAATTAAAAAACGTTCGATCAATAATAAGGTTAGGTTCAAATTAAAGGCGAATTTAAAAGCATAAGACTTGAATAAATATATAGATTGCTCTGTTTGTGCCAAAGCTTATATTTTACTCACAATGAAGGCAAACAGGAGGAACATATCCCACAGTGCATCCTCTGGGACAATTTCCGGTTTCCTTGTCACAAACGGTGCTGTTGTAGCAGTTCCTGCTACATTGGCTAGCACAGTCATAGCCAAACCAGCCATCTACACAGGCTACAAATTAAATCAAATAAAATCAGAAGAGAAAAAAAGAAGATGGATGAGAAGGCATGAAAGGTGAAAAATTAAATCTTAACCATAACAAAATTTCCTTCGAAATTTCATCTAACCTAAATGTATACTTTCTCCAAAATTTGCAAAAATCTCACAAAGATTGAAATTTTGCCTATTAAATAGTATACATACACTGAATAGAGCAAAAAGGATAATTTTACAGACATTAACATAATTTTTCAATATGAATGGGTCTTCGCTCCAATCTTTTGAAAGTTTAACCTCAAAGTTTGCGTAAGAATGTACATATTTTGGTTAAAAAACATGAAGCAAAGACCCACTATATCTTAAAAATACACTTTCACGCCCTAACATTCGCATGTTTCCGAAAAATATTTAAAGTCCATTTGGTCAATGATTATATCACAAACATGATTAAAATGCCATTATTCATTAAGAATTGTGTAGTGTGGTAGTTAGCGTGCTGGTCTCAAAAGAAAACGATACTCAGGATTTTTATTGCTAGGATTCGAACCCCGCGAGTACGACATCATTTTTATAAGCAGAGGTTTTGTCAAAAAAAAAAAAAAAAAACAAAAAACAAAACAAAACAAAACAAAACAAAACAAAACAAACAAACAAATTAATTCCCCAGAAAAGTGTTGTTTATCCTAATTTCATAATTTCAATAATGAGAACTTTACTCTAAATACTAAATTAACCAATTGAATATGATTTTTATATATCTGAGGCTACAGGCATTCCGCAAGCCTTGCTCACCCATCTCCTTTAAAATTACAGTCATTTGTATGACATTTGTATCCATTTTATAAGTCAATGATTATGAATATTTTTATATAGAATGTTTTCATTTTATTTTACTAAAGGGTAATCTTCCTTCATCTATTCTAGAAAAATTTCTATATACATGTACTAGTCACAGCATATGCCTTGTACGCTCAATTACATTTCTGTCTTCTGATTTAGTAAATCTTAGTCTATATTTTTTATCAAAAGAATTCTTATAGAAGATGGAAAATAAAAAAAATATAATTAATGCAAGCAAATTAAGTTGCATGTATACTAAAAGAAGTGCATTCTGTGACAATTTATGGCTGAAGATCAAAGTTTTAAGATGGAACGCAATAAGTTATCGATAGTAAAGTTAATAGTATCTCTAAGAAAAAAGTAAAACGTCCTTAATAAAATTTCAGCCATAAAAAACAATATTCATTAAGATTGGCAAGAGTGTAGGCAGGTAAAATGCTCTTATATCGCCATACTTTCATTACAAAATTTAGTAATCCACCCTGATTTGCATCCATTTTTACATGACCCATCAGATTTATCACAGGTAGATCCCTCGTCACAGTTCCCTGTACATGTTTCTGAACAGTTCACTCCGAATGTACCATCGTCGCAGGCTGTAAAGTAAAAAAATGCTTCTACATAAATGTAGAATCCTAAAAATAATCCTAGTATTTTTTTTTCCACTTTCAAATGTCATTAACTATGAGACTTTTCCTACATCAAGTGGTTTTCCACAAGTATTTTTACATAACCTACGTTGATCACATCTTGTTGATGGTTTCCATCCCTTTGCGCAATGACGTGGACAACTTCCTGTCACGTGATCACAGGTCTCATTGTTTTCACAGTTACCACACAGATAGAAGCAATTAAGACCATATTTTCCCGCTACACATGCTTCAAATAGTGAATTATACTTTAATTTTCAATGACCTTAATTGTAACACTGCTGTATAAATTATACAGTAGAGATTTATAAAGGGTAATTGTAAAATGTCTAAACTGTTTTCTTCCTAAATAAGTTGGATTTAGTCATCTCAGCAAATGTTTATCGTGTATTGTTGAAAGGTGTACCTTCGGTGTGTAAAATTCAACATGCTTTCTGGTGACCAAAAGAAAATAAATAAAAAATCAAAATTTGAAAGTAGTACTCATTTCCTCTTGTCGTGTAAATAACAACGGAATTTATTCAATGAAATTTAAAGCACCCGGTTTAATGTCCCATGATATGTTTATTGAAAATGGAAGCTTAGATTTTTATGCATCGTCAAGTTTCGTAGATTAAAAATATCTGCTTACCAGGTGTATCGCATTTTGACCCTTTCCATCCCTGTTCACATGTACAATTTCCGTCCTTGAAACCACATGACGCAGGAGGATGACAATGGACACTACATATCCCAGTACAGTTTCCCCCAAACATGCCTGGAGCACAGGCTTTAAAAAATTAAAATATACAGAAACATAGGTAATCTATGTTTACAGTGAGTTTTTGCCTTTAAGCATATATACATGTAAGACATCATCTAAGACATCATGTAAAACAATTATATTCTGCTTGTGCGTATCCATCAATGCATCATTCATGCAATTTCAGCCTGAGGAGGACTTAAAGATCTGTTATTTTTATACCCTTTAACCTGGTCAATCATTTGGAAAAAAATAGATTTGTTTCAGTACCCAAATCATGATTGGTTGTGTAAATCCCTTGATACCTCACCAATGCAAGATTGGTCAGGATAGGATTGCTCAGGAAACCTTTTAAAATATACTCACCTATTCGGATAGTTTAGCTCAGATGCAGCATACAAAACAAGTATGGTCAAGTATTGTTTGAATTGATTTTGGAATTGACTTGCTTTTAAACCATAAATTATTCATACATCTAAAAAATACATACATGTATAGGTCAAATCTAGCATCCAAAGCAACTCTGATATCATGATGCATTTAAAAATTCACTTTTTTGGACACGGCGTCTTTCCTACATTTTTCAAATAGGTTAAATGATATAGAATTGAATTTTTTCATCCTTACTTGTGCAGGTAGGGGGTTGAAGTCCAGCATGAGCACAGCCCGAAATGTCACATTCGCCCGAGTCAATATCACATGACGATGGATTCATACAGTGGTCACAGGTCAGTGAACAGTTTTCTCCATAAAAACCCGTCTGACATCCTGAATTTTAAACATTTCTTAATTTCCTACATGTTTTTAAAAAAGCAATATCCATTGGAAAAATACAATAGTTTGGTTACTGTTGCTACGAAAGGCTATCAGAAAATAATGCAAGTAATGTTATTCCATTGGTTTCCTTAGTAGGTGACCAATGTCAATGTCACACACGTGTAGATACATTCATAACCTGTATCTGTCTAAAATTTCTCATCGTTTAATTCACTGTTTCAAAAGATATATACAAAAGAAGAAGGGGTAGTCGTACATACTGACCATTTTCTCCCAGTGACAAGAAATCTACAGTGAAAGCTGAAATAAGGACCTAGATAAAAGTGAGAGGCATTCTTGACATACCTGCAAAAGTCATTTTAAATGAAATTTGTCAGGTTTAGATTCTGCTGTTTCATTAAGCACAGTTTGTCCCTGGTTGAAAAAGTTCAAGAATGCCTAGAGGTCGTTAAAGATTCCTCAAGGCCAGGGCGACCAAAGACAGCTGTTACTGATGGAAACGTGGCTGCAGTTAAACAAATGATAGAGGAGGATTTCAGATATACTTTAAAATATATCGCTAGTGTTGTTGGGATCTCATCGGCAAAGGGACATGAAATTTTGACCCAGCCCCCCCCCCCCCCCCAACCTACATAAAATATGTGCACGATTGATACCGCATCTCTTGACACCAGAACAAAAGTAAACGCGTTGCCAGAAAACATTTAAAAATATATCAAAACTGTGACAGTAGAAGAAAGTTTGCTGACCTGTTAACAGGTGATGAAACTTGGATATACTTTTTTGAACCGAAAAGAAAAATTAACAATATGATGTGGGTTAAAAAGAATAGTAAGCGTCCTGTCATTGAAAAAAGGTGTCAGAGTGCTAAGAAAATTTTGTATGCTATTTTCTTTTATTCTAGTGGCCCAGTTGTGCAAATTCCAACTCCGCAAGGTCGAGGTATCTCTGGACATTTTTACAAAACTAATGTACTGAAAAAAAAATTTAAAAAGTTATGAAAAGAAAAGACCAGTCATGTTTGAAGAACCTCAAGCTCATTTATGACAATACCCCAGCTCATAAGAGTAAAATAGTTCAGAGTTTTTTGAAGGATGAAAAGGTTGTTCAGCTTCCCCATCCTCCATAATCTCCCGACCCTAGTTCCTGTGACTTTTTTCTATTTCCTAGACTTAAAAATGTTATCTGGTAGCCGATATACTTCGCGCAGTGCAGTTGGTAGTGCTGTTTATCAGTGCTTAGACAGTATTCCAAGGGAAGACTACCTAGGGGCTTTCAAATCATGGGTATGCAAATTGTAAAAGTGCGTGAATGTAAAATGTGGTTACTTTGAAGGATTAAACTAGTTTACATTTTGATACATATCGTTCCTTTTATTTTATTGATATACTTGCAGAATTTTCTGATTGTCCCTCGTAAATGTAGCCGCTAGTTCTCCAAACGGCTCCCTACTCCCTTTTGTGCTCCATTACCTGTAATCTTCATGAATTCTGCATTTTAAACTTAACCTTACTTTGGAATTTTATTCTGTATTTAAGTGCAGATAAAGCCTTTAATGTTTTCCCCATTTCTTGAGGTCAGCTTATTGAGAATCTTTCAATTTAACGAAAAACTTATATGTAATATTTTAAACAATAAGTAATGTACCGAAATACTTAGAAAATACTAGTGTCATTCAAAATTCGTAGACTTTTGTCATAACTTTTTTATTTAACTTCACAGTATAACCAAATTCAATACACATATTCTAACAATAGATTCAAATAATTTGAGTAAAAAAATTGGAATATATCTTGATATTTATCAAAATTATCAAAAATTCAATACAGGAAAAATGGGGTCACGAGGTAGGGTCAAAATTGAGTTAATTACTAATTATACAATTTATAATGACAATAGTGAAGCTTTAATAAATGGAAACGAAATAAAATATAAATTTTCAAAATTAGTATTCTTCTATTACTTCAGATGCTAAAATGTATTGTGATACATTGCTTCCATCTAAAGATATCAATTTCTAAAGACAGATAGACTTGATTAAAATAGGCAAAAAACGATGCCGTCGAAGGACTTCACGGAACGGCGAGTAACGATAAAATTTCGTTTTGCATTCGGGAAACCTCTATACAGAGAGAGGCAATGGTCTTACAATTCCAAAAAATGAAACTTCTACATAAAAGTTGATAATTTACCGTTTTCACATATCTATTTAAGCTGATTTGGAGGTAATTTTTGTTCTCCTGATTGAGATCGCAGGGTAATTGGTCAGTTGTGAGGTGTTAATTACTGTACAAACAACATGTCGTTACCCCAACTGTCCTGTAATTCTTGAATGATGTTAAATAAATCACCGTTGAGCAATGTGAACCATTATGTCTATCTTTTGCAGTTATATCTATCAAATTATATTATTAGACAAACATTGTATATTAAGTGAAAGTTCAGACTTAGTTTTGATTATGGCGACAATGCAGAATGTGTAACTTCTGCTCTAAAAAAAATATCAACGTCTGATTTCTCAGGCATGTTTCATGGTTTTCTTATTTTTTTTTCTATCAATTGAAATTGAAATAAAACATATGTACATGTAGTTTCCTGATCAAGATAAACACATATTGTTTCTAAAATCTTACTATGAGTAGAGCTACTTTAAAAAAAAGTCAAGAAAATGTGTATTTTGATACGATTAACCGGTTAACCGGTCGGAACGTCTTGCGGTTAACCGATTAGCAATTTTGTAATCGATTGCCATCCCTAATATATATATATATATATATATATATATATATATATATATATATATATATATATATATATATATATATATATATATATATTGAAAAGACAGTTTTTGAGTGGAAGATATGCAACGAAACAGGTTATAGTAAAAAATAAGAGTTGGTAACGTCATGAAATGTTATGTGCGCTTCACTGTTGCGGAACTTGTGAAAGCAGAGTTACCCGGTAAAGAATTTGAAAATACTAATAATCTAACTTAAGCTACTCGAACAACTGTACACAAACTAGGCGTCAGGTGTTATGGGTGCGTTTTTATGAATGGGTAAGACGCTACGAACCGGGTACGAAATAGAAAGGCAGAGTGATTTTGAGAAACTTTCTCAATGTTTTATGTCACCGTATCGAAGATTCGGGGGTATATAGTTTTTGCCCTGTCCGTCTGTCTGTCTGTCTGTTTGTCAGCAAAAACTTTAACATTGCCCATAACTTTTGATTGGTTGGAGCTATGGCTTTCATATTTTACTTGTGTATTCCTTGTGACAAGACCTTTCTTTGGGTACCAATATATTTGACCTTGACCTTGGAGTTTTGCAAAATTTTTCCCAACTTTAACCTTGGCCATAACTTTTGAACAATTGGTGCTAGGGCTTTCATACTTCACATGTGTATTCCTTGTGACAAGATCTTCCATCAGTACATGTTGCCGCCGTCAGAAAAGTAACACATGTACATATATGTGCCTCACCCTCACTGTACATATTGTCGCCCCACAGATATTGTTGCTTAAAGATTTCTTTTGTTGTTTTTTGATTCTTTTGTGAATGTAATTGGTGTATGAATCACACTGACGTATCTCGTATGCTATTTAATGCAGCGTAATTGTGACGGTACATTTTGTCGTTCTGTTCATATTGTCGCCTGCGACAATGTGTACCTACCCTCACTGCGCATATTGTCGTTCATCAGAACATGTCGCAGCACGGCAATGCTCCATATAAATATGGTTAGAGAAACCAAAAAGTTTAAAAATGGTCATATACACTTAATTTGATCGCCGAAATATGGCTAAAATATTGCCGACTCAGCGTTAAACAATAATAATCAATCAATCAATCAATTTATATAATTATATATGACTAATTATTGCTTTGTTGTTTTGGAGAAGATAATTTTTAAAGAATTAACCCATATATTCCTCTGTGAAACTTTGATCGCCCATTGTGGCCCCACCCAAGGCCAGGTTAGATTTGAAGATACTTGAATCTGCACTACCTGATGATGAGTCGCCCGCGTGGCACAGTGGTTAGAGCGTCTGCTCTAGAGTCGCGGAGTAAGGAGTTGATCCTTACATCGCGGGTTCGAATCCCACTGTGGGACGTGGAGACCGGTCCTTCGGATGAGACCGTGTAAACGAGGTCCCGTGTCGTAGTAGGTGCTGGCACGAAAACGATCACTCACTGCTCAATGGCCGTAAGTGCCGAGTATAGGACAAAATTTGCAGCTCTCCACTGGCAAGTGGTGGCGTCTCCATATGAATGAAAAATTCTCGAGAGGGACGTTAAACAACAAACAAACAAACAAACAACCTGATGATGCTTCCACGTAAACAACATTAATCACGGGCCTACTGCTGTTCTCAATGGTGGATCCAGAAATTTCAGAACGGAGAGGGGGGTGGGCAGTTCGGAATTTAGCAGTGAGCAGTGAGGAATCTTTTTCCCACCAGCACCTCAAAATTGAACTTACGATATGTACAGAAGCTTTCACATAACTATCATCTCTTCTGACCTAGTACTTCTTCAAAAAAGGAATGAATGAATTTTTTTCTAAATATTCTATGAAAAACTTTGATCACCTATTGTAGCCACCCCCCACCCCCAAGGGTCATGATCTGGATGAAACTGAATCTACACTTTATAAAGAAGCATTCACATAAGTTTCACTTTTCTGAAACAGTGGTTCTTGAGAAGATTTTTTTACTTCCCTTATTTGAACAAACTGGAATCCCCTTTATCCACCGATGCTTTGTGGCAAGTTTGCTTGAAATTGACCCAGTAGTTCTTGAGAAGCTGAAATTGTGAGTTTACAGAGAGGTGGGTGGTCAGACAAAATGTGATCAGAAAAGCTCACTTGAACTTCCAGTTCAGGTGATCCAAAATGTCAACCCTAACGACAATTATATCGGCATTGATTGTATAAGAATAGCGCAAAAATATATTTTCCAAATAATTATTACTACTGAAAAAAAAACCCAACAACTAATACATGTATTCAATATCCAGATATATATTACAAGAAAAAAAGAAGAGGCTGATTTATCAGATATCTTTGGTTTAATTTTGGTATCTTGACATATCATTGTGATGTACATCAATCCTGGACACAATTGTCTGACCAACAAAGTTTTCTCCCTATAGTATTGCGAAGAATACTGTCTGTCCCCCTCCGTGCGTGTGTTTGTTTGTCTATCTCTCTTTCTTTCTCAAGTAAAACTTCGTCAAAACAATGTATCGGCGACAATATATGCCGGCCTTGACTGTACATATTGTCGCCGACGACAATATGTGCTGAAGCTTAACTGCATATTTTGTCGTCCGTTATGCAGGAGGAAAATAATTCTCGTCTCGGTACATATTGTCTCCGGTGACAATATGTACCGATGGACGACAATATGTGCAGTGAGGGTAGGTACATTTTGTCGCTGACGACAATATGTACCGTCACATACCACCATATTTGACCTTGACCTTGGAGTTTGACCTACTTTTGAAAAACTTTGACATTTGCCATAACTTTTGAACGGTTGGTGCTAAAGCTTTCATACTAAGCATGTAATCCTTGCGACAAGACCTTCCTTTGGATACCAACAACTTTGACCCTTTGACCTTGAAGTTTGACCTACTTTTGTAAAACTTTAACATTGGCCATAACTTTTGAACGGCTGGTGCTAAAGCTTTCATACTTCACATATGTAATCCTTGTGACAAAACCTTCCTTTGGATACCAAAAACTTTGACCTTTTGACCTTGACCTTGGAGTTTGACCTACTTTTGAAAAACTTTAACCTTGGCCATAACTTTTGAATCGTTGGTGCTAGAGCTTTTATACTTCACATATATAATCCTTGTAACAATACCTTCAATTGGATACCCTTTGACCTTGGACTTTGACCTACTTTTGGAAAACTTTAGCCTTGGACACAACTTTTGAAAAGTTGTTGCGTGACAAGACCTTCCTTTGGATACCAACAATTGTAATCCATTGACCTTGACCTTGGAGTTTGACCTACTTTTGAAACACTTAAACATTGGTCATAACTTTTGAACGATTGGTGCTTCAGCTTTCATATTTCACCTGTATATTTCTTGTGAGAAGGTCTTTCCTAAGGCACCATTAATTTTGACCATTTGACCTTGATGTTTGACTTACTTTTGAAAAACTTTAACCTTTTCCATATCTATTCAATGGTTGCTTTTAGGGCGTTCATATTTCACAGGTATATTCCTCGAGACAAGACCTTACTTTGGGTACCAACGTGTTTGATTTGCATTTGAGAAAGTTTAACCTTTGCTATAAGTTGCATACGGGGGCAACAGTGTTTCACAAACACATTTTTTTTTTTTACAGTGTTGTTTAGTGTGCTCCGTGCTTACAAACTGTTGCTTTTAAAATTGCCTAACATGAGTTCCATTTAATGAAATGGAATGAAGCTTCACAAATCGACAAAATAACTGTTTTTATATATTATGAAAATGTCTTAACTTAAATCTAATAAAAATAATATGATGATGAGGGACTTTGTCTACGTATTTTTTGAATGTCCCTCGTATATATATATATAAAACATTCAGTCAATCCGCCTGAACAACACACTGAACATTTAACATTAGAGTTTCATGTCTTACCGAAGATTTGAACCTCGCATATTTCTAGCATTGGAACTGTGTCTCCTGAATATAAAACGTTTGTTGTGTAGAACCAAACAAAGCGGGATGTCCCTCTGCAGTCATTGGTCAGAACAGTAGGCAGAACTTGATTTCCGGGGTCGCTATAGCATGTTTGGGCATGGGACAAGTTAGTACTATTTGATATTTTTATGGAGTATCCGCGTAAACGTATTGTATTGAGAGCGGTTGATCCTCCTAAATAAAGATATAAATGATTTAAATATTCATTTTCATGATCTTTGCATTAAAAATGTTTGTCTGATTATTTTTCGGAAGCCAAAATAAAACATGGTTGAAAAATATCTGTCTGGTGGCCGGAAATATTTTTTTCCTCACGCTACCGCCAGTTATTTTTTTTTGTTTCTATCCTGAGTATTAAAGACTTCCATATATAATGGATGCTCAATACCGCACTTTTACCATCTTAATTGAAAGTTATGGTTACCAAAAAATAAAAATTCAATATACATACCGATTTTCAAAAGACTTACTATCATTGCGATACCAGAACCTGACATCATTCAGGCTGTAGACATGACCTAAATCAACACGTAACCAGGCTTCTCTGATTGTGGCATCAATACCGGTGTGTGAGCAACTGACAATGTCTTGACTGGTATCCCCGTCAACTGTACGGGAGGGTAAGTAATTTTGAAAAACACTACTGCTAGCTGCTGTTGTCACATATGGAACAACTAATTGCTCTGGAAAATACATTTGAATTCACAAAATAATATCTTTTTAACATAAATTCTATTCTTTAATTTTTTTTCTATATGTACATTATTTATATTCATGATTTAAAAATGTCTCAAATGCAGCATCTGAAAACTGACTGGTGCAAAGAAACATACTGGATGCATCATCCATGCAACTCTTACAAATATAGGGCATAAAGTGCTAGAAAAGAGAGATCTGCTAAAAAAAAAAAATGAAACCGACGACTGAATATTACACAAGCTCCTCCAGTTTTGTTCAAACATAAATACACGTACTCCCTCCCCTGTTCTGCTTTTGTTCATCACAAGATACCTGTAGCCCTTCAGATTTGACCTTAAGTCAAACTTATGACACACCATTAGGTCATGAGAAACATACTCGAATAAAGGAATGAAGGATTCAGCAGTGATGGTCTGGTCTCAGTTTCTCTTTTATTTCACTCATTTCTGACACAAAAAGACAGCGAATCTATAGAAACAATTGTTTCCTGTTGTTGCACTAGGTTAAAAATATCCACATATCATCACGTCGAGATCCCCCAAAAGCCATACCCTCTCTCTTATGTGGAGTATTCTAAATGATTTGAGACATGACTCTTCTAATGCACCAATGAACACGTGGTGGTACTACAACAACCTCACAGATGATTCTGCAGCAATCTGAAGTTTTAACCATTTTCCTAAGTAATGGCCAAATTCTAATTGTAGCTGAGATGCAGGTAACAAGTTAACTTATTATATAAACAGATGAATGTTTATAATTGATATTATTGTATGCTGTATTGTAAATGTGTCGTTCTTACGTATTGCTTACAGGGTTTCTCACATATTCATTCAGATTTTGATGCATTTCACCCTATACCCCCTATTTTGCATTTACAATATTACGAGAAAAAATGTGTACAAGTGTATACACACATGAATATTCAAAATTCCATTTCATTGTTTAAAAAATACTATTTAGTTAAACGCCCATGGTGCACGGAAGAATCAAACTATACAGTAAATAATTCCGGAGGATATTTTACGTTTGGGTTTACATGTACTTTATGACTTGGTAATGTACAGTTATTGTAGTTTTGCTCATTTACATTCAAAACATGCACTCAATAGTATCCAGTAGGAGCAAAACATGGTCGATCGTAACACGATTTACTTATGTTTATTAGCTAAAGGGCAAAGAAAATTTCCTTCCTTTTATATCCTATTTGACAGTATTTCCCAATTGAAATCTTCGAGGAAAGTAAAATCAATGCAGTCAAATGGAAGTTATTCAGATAAATGTTGATACTGCTAAGTGTTTCATAACCTGTATTTTTACTTTCAGTAGAAACAGTTACATCAGGATCATTTAAATGTATAATACACGAAACATTAAAAAAGATAACTCGACTATGTGGGGTGATTTATGCATCACACCCCCTTAAGTCCCTCCCAATCCTTTTATACCACCTCCATTTAAACCTTTTACTACTATTATCTGTTGATCACGGTACATTGTATATTATTTAATGGAAATCACATTTTACACCCCCCCCCCCCCCAAATCGACTTTTCTTTGTCACCCGTTTTGATGCCTTTACTTAGTACTTCATACTTGTTTCAACTATTCGTAGAAGCAGAATATTATTGTGTAGAATCATGCTCGAGAATTTTTTTCAGGCACAATGGGTGGTCCGGGGAGGGGGGAGCTGCCTCATCTTTTCCGAACATAATCTTTTCCAGTTGATTTAGTACGAAAATATTCATTAAAGGCCTATTGACCCCCTCTACCCGCCCGTGACCCCACTTTCTGTTGCAGTACAGTGAATTTTTCCAACGGTATTAAGTATTAATTTTTTTCTCGTCGAAGAATTCGAAGTTATTAACATCCCCCCACCACCTCTTCTCGTGTTTGGAAAATTTTGCATTTTATTTTTTGAATTTGCTTGTCGAAGATTTTTAGGGAGGTTGTCAGTTATTTTTCTGGCTTCTATCTCCCCCACCCCATCGATCCCTTCCCAAGATTTCAAATGTTGAATTAAACTTGTAAATGAATACGTATTAGTAGGAATTTAGATGAATATTTTTGAATTATTATATATACATGTACCTGCTACGGGAATTTTTCACTGTGGCCTACATGTTTATGCTTACTATCAGAATTTTTTTTTTACCGTTTGAAATCATTCTGGCCTAAATATATTGCAAACGTGAGTATCCACCAACTTGTTGCGAAAAAAAATATAGAAGCTACTTGTAAAGCGATTGTATCTTTCGCTTTAGAATAGACTAAATATCGTTGTATAATTTAGAATATAAAAATGTATATACATGTAATGCGGTATATCATGTGACAAGTCTAAGTTTAAACATATATGATTCTAAATTTGTACTCACGATAAGTCAGGACTTGTCTTATAACTAGAATGAACATCAGGATACATGTTGACACAGTCATATTGCGTCGCAATGTCATGAACATTATTTATTTACAAGTACATGTATATGAGCAGAAAATCATGCACTGCATGATCGTTCACTCACGCATTGTAAGAAAGGAGTTCATCTGTGACGAAAGGTGAAAATTACAGAACGTTTTACTTCCCTAACCTTTGCAAATTCACAAAAGCAAAAGTTTTTTTTTTAATTTGAACGTAATTACATATATATTTTGTATAAATGATAAATTTGAAATCAGAAAAGCGAGAGTAGATCTTCTAGCTTCACATTGAAAAAAGGGTTCTTAATTAATCATCAATAAAGGGTAAAAAAGAGGAAAGATGTTGGAAGTTTATTTTAGCTCCAAGTATACCAAAACAGTTCCCATTACATTACTTAATTTAAGTAAGCTCACTTTCAAATCAGAAATTATTTTTTTTTTTTGAAAAAAGTTACAAAGTGTATTTTTTCGGGGGGGGGGGGGTCATCATACATGTACAGTGTACGTGCTTCAGTTCAATGGGAGTGGATCAAAGCTTGCATCGATATTGCTCTCTTAATATCATTATAAATAAGTAGGAAATAAATTAGGACTATTTTTTGTCTTAAAATATTTACAAGCGTTCCTTTCCTTTAAGATCGGGTTTGGTGTACGAAATATTTTAACATAATAACATGTCAAGATCAAGGTAAAAAGAAAAGTTTCTTTTTTAATCCACCGAATTAAATAACTCATCACATTTTAATGAATCACATTTAATGGTTATGTGTTCAAGATTATTTTTCTTAATTTTGGACATTTCGTTTGATTTGAAAGTTTTGTCTGAATGTACAGCTGTACAGTATCCCTAAAATAACAGTGATGATGGGCACAATGAAATGAAATGAAAATTTTGTCTGTTTCAGCATAAAGATTCAGCCTGGCGCTGTTATTTGTGAAGAGAGTGAACTGGTTGGAGACATAACTATAGGTATTTCAATATACACAATGAAACGTGCTTAAGTACCACAGGACTCGGCAGTTTTACCCATGAAGCAACGAAAGCAAAGTAAATAATAACTAGTTAGTGAGCTCACTGGTTATTGTTTACGTTGATTTATGGATAAAACTGCCAACCTCTGTGTAAAGTACACAAGATAAAGTTTAAATAAATGTTAAGTGTTCATGACATTTAATTCTCATACACTATCTGTATGTTTACCCAGTTTCCTTGCTGCATTTAAATGTTTTATCAGTATTCAGTGAAATGGGGAACCAAAATCAAAATCATAATGTTATGAAGTCTACCTCCTACATAATTTAGAACTACAGTCAAGGGACATAATTATTTGCCACTTCCGCCCAAATCCCAAATTTTGCACTTAATTTTACAACTGATTGAAATGAAGTTAAACGTTTTAATGATCATGATCTAGTATGACACATAAACGAAAGATGTTGGACCGTTTGGATGTAATGCAAAGAGAAAAAGGGTGAGATCAGGTATACAATTGTATTTCCTGCTTGGAAGATTTCAAAGAATCTGTGGAATAAAACACTTCACATAAATGCTTTTTTATTTCATAAAGGTATAAAAATGACACTGTAGTCTTTATTTTCAAATTAGTCATTACAAAACATTGATGTTTCCTTTTTTGACGGACTCATAAAATCAAATGCGGACTAGGAAAAAGTAAGGAAGCATTAGTCTGGCCGGACTAGTGCCTAAAAATGTTCGTGTCAAACCCTGGTTAGCAAATCGAACACACATTACATGAAGATCCAAGTCACTCTCTCTCTCTTTTTAGCTCACCTGAGCTGAAAGCTCAAGTGAGCTTTTCTGATCACCCGTTGTCCGTCGTCCGTCCGTCTGTCCGTCCGTCTGTAAACTTTTCACATTTTCAACTTCTTCTCAAGAACCACTGGGCCAATTTTAACCAAACTTGGTACAAAGTATTTTTGGGGGAAGGGGAGTTTAAATTGTTAAAATAAAGGGCCAAGTCCCCTTACAAGGGGAGATAATCAAGAAAAGACAAAAATAGGGTGGGGTCATAAAAAAATCTTCTTCTCAAGAACCACTGGGCCAGAAAAGCTGAAACTTATATGAAAGCATCCTGGGATAGAGTAAATTCTAAATTGTAAAAATCATGACCCCCGGGGGTAGGGCGGGGCCACAATAGGGAATCCAAGTTTTACATTGAAATATATAGGAAAAATCTTTAAAAATCTTCTTCTCAAGAACCACTGAGCCAGAAAAGCTGAAACTTATGTGGAAGCATCCTGGGGTAGTGTAGATTCTAAATTGTTCAAATCATGACCCCCGGGGGTAGGGCGGGGCCACAATAGGAAATACAAGTTTTACATTGAAATATATAGGAAAAATCTTTAAAAATCTTCTTCTCAAGAACCACTGAGCCAGAAAAGCTGAAACTTATGTGGAAGCATTCTGGGGTAATGTAGATTCTAAATTGTTCAAATCATGACCCCCGGGGGTAGGGCGGGGCCACAATAGGGAATACAAGTTTTACATTGAAATATGTAGGAAAAATCTTTAAAAATCTTCTTCTCAAGAACCACTGAGCCAGAAAAGCTGAAACTTATGTGGGAGCATCCTGGGGTAGTGTAGATTCTAAATTGTTCAAATCATGACCCCCGGGGGTAGGGCGGGGCCACAATAGGGAATACAAGTTTTACATTGAAATATATAGGAAAAATCTTTAAAAATCTTCTTCTCAAGAACCACTGAGCCAGAAAAGCTGAAACTTATGTGGAAGCATCCTGGTGTAGTGTAGATTCTAAATTGTTCAAATCATGACCCCCGGGGGTAGGGCGAGGCCACAATAGGGAATCCAAGTTTTACATTGAAATATATAGGAAAAATCTTTAAATATCTTCTTTTCAAGAACCACTGAGCCAGAATAGCTGAAACTTATGTGGAAGCATTCTCAAGTAGTGTACACTCTAAATTGTTCAAATCATGACCCCGGGGATGGGGGGGGGGGCACAATAGGGAATCCAAGTTTTACATTGAAATATATAGGAAAAATCTTTAAAAATCTTCTCAAGAACCACTGAACCAGAAAAACTGAAACTTATGTGGAAGCATCCTGGGGTAGTGTAGATTCTAAATTGTTCAAATCATGGCCCCTGGGGGTAGGGCGGGGCCACAATAGGTATTACAAGGGGGGGAAGTCTGGTAATGAACAGTATGGCCAAAGTTACTCAGGTGAGCGATGTGGCCCATGGGCCTCTTGTTCTGGTTAGACTTTCAAAAAATGATGTCCATGAAGTGAACAGATTGTTAATCAGTTGCTTTCCTTTTTCTTGAAATCAGATAGATGACATTCTTGAATTTTCTACTTTATGTTGTTATGTTTAGGAAGCAGGACAGTTATTCACCCAAAAGCGAGGATCATTGCTGAGGATGGACCCATCATTATTGGAGAGAATAACATAATTGAAGAACTTGTTCAGATAATAAATAGGTATGTAGATGACTCCAACAGGTGTCTAGGAAGTGTAAGCATCCCTTGATGACCAGTAACTCCCAACATGAGATTTATGTGTTGATCAGGTGGACGGAACATTCCGTAGTCAAATGAGGATCATCGCTGAAGATGGAATCATCATTATTGGAGAGAACAGCATAATAGAAGAAGCTTGTACATGTATATTATTATAACAGTAACATTGATCCAAAGAGCCATATCACGTCAAGTTGACAGGTGCGGATCATCAGGTCAAACGAGACGCGAAGCGTCAAGTTTGATCTGATAATCTGCCCCTGTCAAGGAGATGTGATACAGCTCTCTGGATCAAGTTACTGTTATAATGATAAATTTATTATATACCCCTTTACAACTAGCAAAATATAATAAAAGGAAACTTTTTGGATCAATTGCATAACTTTTATCAATTAAGCAAACCATTTTATTAAGGAACATTTTGATGCGCAAGAATGAAAACATCATTTATCTGTGTACTACATCATCAGTTTCAGAGAGGGTGATATGGATTCAGTATGGTGATCCGGAATATCGGATCACACCGTCACATGATTGCATAAATTCAGCAGTAAAACTGAGTGACAAACAGTTGTATATATCATAATAAAGATTATTATTAGGTAAAAAGATCTCTTCTCTCTAATCCCCCCCCCCCCACCCCCACAACCAGAAAAAAAACCCTCAGACAAAAGAACACTCAGAATCTAACAAATAAAAAAAAAAAGACTTAAAATGTTCATTAGGATCCAAAAAATTCTTTCATGCACTAGTACAAGTTGCTTACACAAATACACGTATAAATCATGATATTTCTTCAGAAAAAGAAATTTTTCTTTTATTTAAGTCTTTTCTTTTTTTGCTTGTACTTTAAGAATTTTGCATTAAATGTCACTGATAAGTATTTTTTGGCAAAAGTGAAACACTTCCATTTTTCCCTTTAAAAAATTGATAATGCCTAATATCAGTATTTTGGTTTTTGTGTGTGATCTTCAAAACATGCCATATGATGTCCAGACATTGGTACTACATGTAATTGTTTAAATTTTGCAGGAATCCAGAAGGGAAGTCAAGCACTACTCAACAGGTGATGATTATAGGAAACAACAATGTGTTCGAAGTGGATTCCTGTATCCTTAACAACAACATGCAGTTTTTAGCTCACCTGAGCCAAACGCCCAAGTGAACTTTTCTGATCAAAGAATGTCTGTTATCTATCTGTCGTGTGTTGTCTGTCATGCATCCTCTGTTTAGTGTGTCCTCTGTCCGTCTGAAAACATTTTTACATTTTTGTCTTCTCAAGAACCACTGGGCCACATTCTTCCAAAGTTACCACAAAGCATCCTTGGGTAAAGGGGATTTAAGTTTCTTCAAATGAATGGCCACTCCCGCTTCCAAGAGGTAATTATTTAGTGAAAAATTAATGGCATCTTTTGAAAATCATCTTCTCAATAACAACTGCACCAGAAAAGATGAAACTTATGTGAAAGTTTTATCACATAGTGTAGATTCACATTTGTTCAATTCATAACCTAAGACAATATTTGCTTCTGGTCTCAAAAAACTCCTATCATAATACAGTCAAACCTGGTTATCATGAACTCAATGGAACTGAGAAAAAACTTCCGAGATATCTGTTAATGTTATATCTTTAAAAACACACAAATTCCTGCCAAAGCCATATGTTTGAAGTTACATTGGTACATTATACATGTACATAACAGAACATCAAATGTTTAGAAGGAAACAATCAGATTTGTTATACCTTTAAGAATTGGTTCCTATATAAATCAATTCTTGAAAAAGTCTAACATTTCCAATGTTTGATGAGCGATCATAAAAAAAATTTATGTTTGACTGTAGAGTGAAATTTTAGACCTGTTGATGAGATATTGGACCACTTACGTCACATTGTGGGTGGGATCAGCTAAATTTCATTAGCATTGGTTGTTGTTAGACTGTGACAGAATTTACTGAGTTTTACCGCAGTGCATGTAAAGAAAATTTGTATCATGGAAATCAAGATACAAAAAACCAAGAAGCCATGAATACAAGATACATGTATGTCAAAAAGAAAATAATAAAAGGTATTACAAAACATTTATTGACTGTGTTCTCTGGCAAAATGTATTTTGTAGACCCCTCAACTTAAACTGCTTGCCTTCGAACGAATGGCCCCAGACAACATGCAGTTTGGTTCTTGGGTCCAACAAACTGCATGTTGCCCTCAAACCCAGTCAATAAAAGTATGATGATCCCTGGTTGCATTGGAGTTGCAAGTTAAGATCATATTTTACATGTAGTAATGGTATTTTTTCCAGTTATTTTATTTGGTCAGTGTTTTTGTCCTTGACCTTTAAATAGATGTGGAGGCTACCAAGATAGGAGACCACAATGTAGTGGAGGCCAAAGGTCAGGACAGATTTATTTTAATGTTTTGTGATACTCTACAGGTTCTGTCAGGCCTCTCAAAACCTGACTGAAATCATGAATGTACCAGCAAAAATATTTGTTGGAGAAAAATTTAATAACATATTTAATTATTAAATAAAATTGCTTCGACAAGGTACCTCCTAATTTTGAAAAAAGTACTGCCTGTTTCTAATCTTCTTGAAAGCCCTGCACACCTGAGTGACCTGATTAAATTATTAAGGTTGTCCCTAATCTGTGATGAGCCAATACTGTAATGAATAATTTCTCTCCTTATAATTTCATTCTCTGAAGTCATATATATACGAGGGTTGTCCCAGAAAAACGCGAACATTTTCAATATCTTTTGTTTCACTAACACTATAAAGTTAAAAATTGGCATACAACATAATCAACATTTTTTGAATAATGCATAAAAATTTCATTGAAATATCTCTATAAATAAAATTTTTCTCTCGGGTAAACGAATCTTACAAAATAGCTGTCGGCGCAACACTGACGACGTCAAAACGTAACTCGTGGCGTTTGTGAATTTATTATGGAATCGTGCGTCTGATAAAATTCGTTTGAAGCATAAATTCGACACTGTATATCACTTTCTTTTAGTTATCAAGTTATCTATCTCAGGTATTAATTTGCATTTCCAAAAGTTCGCGGAATTACTTCTATTAATAAACTTTAACAGTTTCCCAACCCAGGTCATAAGTAAACCTAACAGCCCTCTCGGTTATATGGCCGTCGGCATGTATGATGTCCAGCTTCTGACTTTTCAGTTTGTTGGTCTACCAAAGGCTTCTTCATCGAATAACCAGTCAAACCATACTTGTACCTCTTGAACTAGGTCTAAATCTGTATCCGAGATATATGTTTGTGTCGTTTCATCGTTTACATATCTTTTTCCTGTGTGGATAGGAGTCATAATCCGATCAACAGTACTGCTTGATAATTTGGTGCCCCGTATTCTCACCCGACGTCACTATTTTTGACAATATCTAAGTAAAGGTGTTTTTGCATCTCATGTCATATTTTTGTCATTTGTGGTGCTAAATTAATGAATTTTTACACATAAGTACTTCAGATCATAGAGATTTTTTGGAGGTAATTTTTTTAACATTATATTTCCGTATAGCTTGGTAATAAAGAAAACTTCTCTGACAATGCTATTTCTAAAACTCGGAAAAATTGCTGTGTGCTGAGCACCGATATCTGACACCCTTTAAAAGCTATTTTTACATGCATATGACATTAAAACTGTATAATAATTTGTCAAAATAGAAAAAATTTCATTTCCCAACAAGGTGCAAAAAATTATATATTTTGGTTGAATAGTTTTTGAAATATTCAAAAAGTTCGTGTTTTTCTGGGACAACCCTCGTATATAATGTAGTATGAACTTACAGAATCTATATGACAAAATGCATTTATATTTGTAAATGACACTTGGCAGCATTACCATGTTTGACTATTTATTTTCTTTGATAGATGTTTTCTATGTTACAGCTAAGATTGGCAGGCAGGTGGAGCTAACCTCGGGGTGTATTATAGGGGCTAAGTGTGAAGTATCAAGTTGTGAGGTTTTAGAGGAGAACTCCGTTATCTATGGGTCAGAGTGCCAGCGTAGGATAGCTGCTGATAAACCCCCAGTAAGTCACGGGGCAGATTTAGGAACAATTTCACAATCGGCTTTGACTTTCAAGTGTCACTGCCGAACAAGACAAGTACATTTTTCACAAAATTTTATTAATTGAAGATCTTCTCTGCTCCTGGGTATTCATCAGACAAACTAAATAAAAAAAATAAAACATAAAAGATTTTTATTAAAGGTGCTTAGACACAGATTTGCAGTTTATATTTTCTAAAATTTTCTGTATAATATCACAACTTATATGTTGCTATAGCATTTCACACGAAAATGAATTTAAAAACTTATTTAATCTGAAAATTATTGAAACTACGAATTTCGGGAGGCGTTTGATTAACACATCCTTGCACTTTCACAATTTTTAACTCTATCCTCAAAACTTAAGGAAAAGTAGCAATTTTGTTGTGTATTAATGAATAATATTACATCTATAATCCAGAAAATTCAGAGTAAAAATGTGCGAAAGCAAAACCCACTCACTTAAGTATTGTCAGCCCGTGCTCAGTGTTGTGTAGTTGTGTACAGAGTTTAACAAATTGAATAAACCAGTGAAACGTAAACTGTTTTTGTAAACAGGGCACGAGCTCTGTTGTTGTTAATGTTTACGTTTCACCGGGTGTGTTCAATTGTTAAACTCTGCACACACCACTGAGCACGGACTGACAATACTGGTGAGAGGATTTTCCTTTCTACATTTCAACTCTGGAATTTCTGCATTATAGTTTTAATATTTTTCATTAATAAACAACAAAATTGCTACTTTTCTAAAGTAGTAAGGATAAAGTTAAAATTTGTGAAAGTGCAAGGATGTGTCTATCAAACGCATCCAGAAATTCGAAGTTTCAATAACTTCCAGAGAAAATAAGATTTTTATCAAATTTTCGTATGAAATGATAAAGCAACATATACGTCATGAAATTATACAGAAAATTTGAGTAAATATTAACTTCAAATCTGTGTCTATATATAAGCACCTTTAAAGGGTGGGGATCTATTTATCATACTGTAAAAATGCATATTTTTTTGAAATTCTTCATTTCTGTTCCCAGGTATTTAGCAGACAAAGTAAGTGCATAGTTATGACAGGCAGGGATGCCTCTACCTAAATTATGAAAATAATGTCAGGAGTTCCGGTGTTCAGATCCAGCTCTTTGAATAAATTGCCATTCTTTGAATTATTTACAGGTTACCATAAAGGCTCTTGAGCCTCATTTTAGAATTTTAGGTTATCATATTTCTATGTGGAAACTGTAAAAAATGTTATTTTGGCCCAGATCTTCACTCTTTCTTTTTAAAATCTATATGATAGCATTTTTAAGCATGTTTTTCATGCAACAGTTTGTTCTTTATACTGTAAAAGCAGAAATATTCATTGGGGATTAAATTTCGTTAATTTCGTTGTTAACAATTATCAATGAAATTAAATCCTCACAAAACATTTTTAGATGACAAATCAACGAAATTTTCTCCCCACGGAAATTTGTGCTTCTACAGTATTTCATTTTCAATAATTAAAAAAAAATGGGCTGCTTCATATGTAGCAACAAGTGATATCCAGTTCCCATAATTTGAAAGGTTCAGCTCTGCACTCCCTGTTGATTGATTTGTATTTGATTGTTTTTCAGGCCCAGTCACTACAGATAGACTTCCTAGCTAAGATCTTACCTAATTACCATTATCTGAAAAAAGTGAAAGCTGGAACACCACATAGAAAATGAATAATTAATTCCAAATTAAAATTTCATAATAGGTAAGCATCATCAGACTACTGTTTTTTTTAATGGGTAGGAATATTTGATTTCCAAATTGTTTTCTGCATAACCTGTAATGATCAACTTATTTATTTATTTACGAATTATCATTTACCTGCATCTATGAAATATTTACATACATGTGATATCTGCCTATGATGTCAAAATCACATCATGTGATAACATAGCTATTAACTTAGTTCTTCTTCTAAAGAATATTTAGTGGTTTAAAAATATATATTGAGTGTTAAAATGATGCTATCTTTGTTAATATCATAATCTGCTAGTGCACACCATGCATTTTGTTGCTGAAGACGACAAAGCTTTTTGAAAAAGCTCTACTTGTGATATAATACATGTACTCTCAAAAGAAATTAATCAGGTTCTTGTTTAGTGTATTTTATGTACCAGTAATCAGCAAGAGTTATCTTTTCCTGCTGTACTCAACCTTATAGCCAAACACACACCTGATATTCCACTGCTATAAGCAGCTACATGAGGTTTAACTGCAATAAATTTGAATTTGGAGATATGTATAACATACAAGTAACTTGTAAAATACGTCTCCTATGCTGACTTAATAAAGCATTAACATTATATTGAGCATGTACGAAATAATGGATACACCTTTGTGCACCTTTTGCCTTTTTATTTCATGAACAGGATAAAATTTTGTGACTAAACGTCATAAAGCACTTGTACATGTACTAGGGTTATTTGAATTCACTAAATGGGTTATTTGAATTCACCAAATGTGTTATCCCTACAAGCACATCACTGTACCTCTTTTGAAACTACAGTATTTATGTGACAAAAAACTTTGAGGAACTTTATATGCATCACAAAATTCGCAAGAATTTCTTTTATACCACCAGCATTTCAAATTTTAAGGTAGTAAATTTATTATAACAGATAATCATGGCACTTAGTAAAAAAAAAAAAATTCTGAATCAGGTGACTATCAAGACTAAAAACCATCTGGCAGTCTATTAATTGGTGTTTCAGGGGAGCTTTCTGAACTACTAAATAATAAATTACTATGTTTACTAGTACAAGTTTTAGCCTGAGGCTTGTTTTTTTTTTTAAATTATTTACCGCTAAAAGAATGTTTGTGCTAACAATATTTTTTAAATTTCTTTTTCAGTGCAATACATTCATCTGACCACTTTTCCAGTATTTATTATCTTCATTGTCAGTGGTGTCCTCACATGTTATATTGAATGAACATGGATTGACTTTAAGATGAAGCCATTAGAGTTATTTGGTCATGTGTTCAGGTTTTAGAAAATTAACCCAGTTTTTCTTGTATGTAAAGTATATGTAATACACATTATCCATGAATTTCTCTAAAATTGATCTTCTTATGATATTTAGGCCATCATTAAAAAAAAAAAAAATGTTTGATGTACTTTGACTCACATTTTTCAATTTGGGTAGGTAGATTTTTTTTTTGCAGTATCTGACAAATTGATTACATTAAAAAAATGCAGACTTAGAAATTTATTGATATTTTCATTAAACACTGGACAAGACAGATTTAATATTTATTTTTATTAAAATGTTCATCGAAAAAGCATCTTAGAGAATTATAAACCTTTAAAATGAAACAATGTCTATTTCCCTGGAAACCAGAAAAAAAAAATCAAAATTTAAAGTACTGAAAAAAATGATTGAGTAGGGGCGATTTTACAGGTTGGTTGGAGTACATCAAACAAATCATTTTTATTGTTGGCCATATATTACACAACAGTACAATGAACAGTGCATGAGTAGATGTTGTATGCTGTAATTGTGTGCTTATATTTTGTAAAAGAAAAAAAATAATAAAATGAGAGAATTAAAAATAATGATCAAATTACTTGATAAGAAAAAAGTGCTCCCTTTGTGTTTGTGTGTTTAATAATTTTAAATCCTGTTTTTAGCATGAATTTGTGTGTAGATACAGGGTGTGTCATAATATCTCTCCCCATTACAGTTGCCCATAAAATCTTTATATATGTTTAATTCAATATTCAGAAAAATTTGGAAAGATGTCTACCTATGCTCTAAAAATTTGCCAACTGATCAAACTTCCCTTCAATCATTTATGAATTTGTGCTCAATCTAAGCAGGAGTCTTTGTCAGAATTAAAAATTCATTTCGTTTTACTGGCACAATACTAGTAATTTTACAGCTACTTACACTCCAGTTAGTTTCAGGGCAAAATGCACATTAATTTAATTAGAATGTTATCATTACTAAAAAATCTCTTAATTATTTATAGTTATATGGATATTTTAATCATATAAACATATTGAAATGTATTAAGTCCTTAAATTGAGATCTTGGTATCAATTAATTATAAATGATTTTTTTAAAAAAGAATATTAATTGTACATAAATGTACATTTGAAATCTTTATTTATATTCTACATGTATGTTTTGTCTCCTTCTATGCTCTGGCAACTTTTAAAATTCAAAGAGTATTGTTTTATCTGAAGCCTAATAGTGCCTCAACTTTCCTATAATGACTGAAGCATTACATATGTTTTTTTTTCATTTCAAATCAATGAAAAATTGAGGAAGTTATAAGTTTTTGTACATGGTATATATTACTGATCTCTACTGCAAAATATAAGTGGAGATTTAAATAAAAGGAAAAAATATAATAAAAAAGGAAGGAAAAAAAAAAGCTGCGTCGGCCGGGAATTGAACCCGGATCGACTGCTTGGAAGGCAACCATGCTGACCATTACACCACCGACGCGATGTTAATAAAGTAATGTAAAGCTATACAAATCAAAATGTACTAATCCTATTCAAAGAATTTGACCATCCTATTTTATTTTGTGATTATTTAATTTAAATAAATCTACTCGAAAGGGAGAAAAAATTGTATTCTTCTTACTGAATACTTTACGTAGACAAATGGGGTTGCAGTTAGAGAAATACGACTTGTCTTTCCTGAGCTATGTGGCAGAAAAAAAGGAGGGGATCAATGTGCTTAGAACTGTACCTTCAGATTTTTTTGTCAGTTGTACATTTATATAAATATACATGTATGTCATATACTTCTTATTTGTACAAATGGACACATACTTTGAAAGTATACACCTATTTTGATTAAATTAATTTATATTTAAAAAAAAAACATGTGTTAGAATATTCTGACTAAATTAATATGACTAAATTTATATATATAAAGTAAAATCAGATAAATAATAAATGCACCTGAAATACAAATATAATAGGCATGCATTTTCACAAGATTAAATTAAATGCATCGCAGTGACACGTTCCTCAGTACTATCTGAATACCCTTACCTGACAAGGCACCCACTCTCTCACAGGGACATGGCATATTTTTGAAAAATGAAAGTGGTTTTCTATGATTTTTTTTTCAACTTTATTCGAAAAAATACAGTATTAAACTACAAAAATCCATCATATTGCAGAAATGAAAATATTTTGTTTTACAAAAAATTTTGACATTAATTTTATCCGATTTTGTCATTCAAAATTTAATGTTCTTCCTGTTTCTTTCACCAAAAGAGCTGTAAAATTCTGTATTTCAAAATTTTCTTCAATTAATCTTTTGTATCCTACCATAAACTAAAAAGAAGGAAAATCTATGGGTTTCTTTTCATGAGAATTTTAATGAAGAATATTTATAGTTGAGAAAAACATACTTGTACATTATTTTTGTGATTAAAATAAAAAAAAATACGGTAATTCGATTTTACAGGTGCTTTACCAAAGCAAATTAAACTATGAAATTGTACTGGTAACAGTATGGACTCAGGGTAACAGGAAGGACAAATCTGTAACAGGACGTACAAAAAAATCAAGAACTTAGACAAAAATTAAACTTTTTGTAAGTCAGATGGCTTAGAAAAGAGAAAACATAATATTGCTAAATGTCGTAAATTCGAGACATTGAAAGACATTTATGGCATTGAAAATGTTGAATGTACTTTATTATGTTTTCTTTTTTTTTCTCTTTATTTTACTCTCTCTTTCTCTGGATTCACCTTATATATGTACCAATGATTAATGATCTATTTTACATACTGTTTTCAATGTTAAATGTACCAATAATTGTTATATGTACCTTGACCTATGGAGAGAACGATTATAGGCATTATGCCTGCTGTTCAATCCATTTCATTTGTAATGAATAAAATATATTTTCAAACTAATTAAACATTTATGGCATTCCTGTTACCAAGTTTTATTGTAAAGTACTATTAAAATATATATCAATTAATTATTTTTTTCATTATAGGTACTCCATGCTGTTGCACAAATAAGAAATTATAATTATATATAGGTAAAACAAATAAAAAACCAAAATAGCTATATAAATACCACCTTTATAAGGATAATTTGTCCTTCCTGTTAAAATTTTTGTCCACTCTGTTACCGAAGTGCATGTTTATGTAGGAATGTACTATTTGAAGTACAAACATTTTTCAATAAGATTTAATCATTTTTCGTTTTTTTTGTGTGAAGTCACAGATTTGACCTGAGGCGCAAAGTGGGGGTAGGCAAGGAGCTGGTCGCCCCCCTCGAAAGGGATTCGGGGGGGGGGGGGGCTCAGAGAGAGCATTTTTTCGAACTCGAAGACATCTACGATTGTCATTTGACCAGTGAAAATAATAATTATAAACATATTTTCAATTTATATCATATGATGACCACTAAATAAACATTAAATAAAATCGAGGACTTTTTAATAACATCTCTTTTTTACTCTGCTTGGAATTATGGAAACTTTCTTACTGAATAATCCAAATACGAACAGTACCTTTAATTTCCCACTAACCAAAATATTTCCAGTAATTAAATTCATTTCCTGCACTATTCATGGACTTCTGTTGCTGCCCATGTTTTTGAAATTGCCTGATACAGACTTTATATAACACTAGACTTTTCGGCTTAAAAAATATTCAGTGCGGATTGCTAAGGATGCTTTTTGGCATTTGTAATGAAAATTAATAAATGATTTATTATCAACTTTTCTTCCTCCTTTTTTCAACCAAATTTTTAATCACTGAGAGAAGGATGTGTAGGCTACAGCCTTTTTGCCTATATGGAATATACGCCACTGAGCGCTCATAAACTTGAGACAACAGAAAATGATGAACTGTTGAAGGTCATGAGAAGAGTTCCATTGAAATGGAGATCACTTTTATTTTAACATTTTCTTTTTGGTAACAGGACTGCCATAAACTGGTAGGACATGTCACTTCCTGAATGATTCATGTGCAATACAAGTATTTAGTGGGAGATACAAGTAAAGTATCATTATTAAATTAATCTATTAATGAATTTAATTAATATGATGTACAAAATTTGTACATATCTACAAAGGAAAATATTTTCCCCATCATATAAGTGAGCATGTTCTAAAATTCCTGATAATGTGACACGGCTATCTATAAATTTTTAATGAGAATACATACAATAATTTCAATAAAACGCTTGGGAGGTGATTAAAACAAAACTTTGTATGCAGTATGATCATGAACATTAATCGGCGGGAAAAACAATTACCTTTAATGATTATTTTTTTTCCTTTTTTCTCATTAAAAGACAAAAAAATGACATTTTTTGAAAATGACCCATATATTTAGAGGTCCCAAGACCATAAACTGAGAATAGACTTAAGTCAAAACTTCAAATCAATGTAACTTTTGAAATAATTTTGATAATGGAGCAAAATTTCATCATATGTTTACATTGGAATATTATACAAACCTGCAAATTTCTAAGCATGTATGTTGAATAAAAGTCAAGGTCTTAAGTCTGTTCTCAGTTTATGGTCTCGAGGCCAGGTAAGATGATGGGTCATCGTAAATGATATATGTACATAGTTATATTATAACATCAGGTATAGGAAAACACAAGTTAACTAATTCATGCAGCATGACACAGGAAGAAGAAATTGAATCAGTAAGGTTTACAAAACCTCAGTTTCCTTATGAACAAACTATTTTAATTATTATTACTGGGAAAAAGTCATCATGACTCTTCAATCTTATTTGAACAAGTGTCATTTGTAATAGACCCCTCCCCCAATTCTCAAATAAATAAAATTTAAAAATAAAGGGAAAAAGTATAACCATTATAGTACTAAACAATATCAGCGAAGTTTCAAACGGACCAACACTTTCTTACTATTAAAATCATCAATCCTTTCAGACAATTTATAAATAGATGAGAATTTCATTGTTCCCGTTATCACTGCTATTTAGGGATTCTGTACATACATGTACTTAGTTCAGGAAGAAGGAAAAGCGAAAAGAAGCAGACAGAAAGATGGAAACACAATGATTATGCTTTAAAATTCAGATTTTTCTATTCGTTGTTACAGATAGATTAATGTGCTGATTTTATTTACACTCAGCAATCATATCCGCTTTAAAAACAAAGAACCCCCTCCCCCTCCCTCTACCTCGAACGAATTAAAACATTCGTTATTGTATCCAGCAAGTGACGTTTGTATAATATATCTTTAAGTTTGATTATTTTGTGAAAATTTCTTGTTCAAGTATTTAAATGCTCAAATAGCAATTTTTCTAACGATTTAAAAATAATAACCATTTCAATTAAGTTATGTTAATTCGCATTAGCAATTCTGGAACAACCTAGTAGACGCAAATATTTATAGCTTACATTTTTGTTTATTTCTTTTATCCAATTTCCAAATTTATAATATATCCAAATTCATATTTAAAAATTGCCCTTCCATATTATCATTCTTTAGTTTCATTTTATCATGTATAGTTCCGCTATTTTGAGAGAATAAGACAATGTACGATTTACTACATGGTCGTAATTAATTAGCGAAAATTCAATTTTGTAAA